ACTATACTACCTAAAATTTAAAAAAAATAAAAAATCTTTTTGGTATTTTCTCTAGACTTCCCTCAAGAACTGTCTCAATTTATCCGTCATCAGGAAGAGTCCTTATATTCTCTTTTTTTTTCGACTCATGTCCCTCAAGAGACCTGTCGAAAGGTGTCCGTCTTTGGGCCAAGTCGAAGTTAATTACATGACCCTACTATGCCAATCACACAAAAATAAAGCAGCATCATACAGAGTTACACAATCTATTTACAACAACAGCCATCCCCCACCCCCCACTTAAAAATATGGCATGTCCCCATGTCAACAAATAAAGAGCAGAGTAAGGAAGGGGGACTTCCCTGAAGATCAATCCTGATCAGAGACAGTGCCGGGATCGAGGTGACATGCTCGTCCTAGTGCTCGAAGCCATCCCATAATCTTCTTCTCCGACTTTGCCTGTTGAGTGGTCAGAGTGTCAACTCTGGTGCCCAAGTCTGTGACAGAAGTGTGGAGACCAGCCATTTCCTGCTCCAGGGCTGTCAGGCGGGTACTTCGGCGTGGCTGTGATGTGCCCGCCTCTTCAACTCTCGTGGGTGGTGGGACCTCAGCTGCCTCAGCATCATCATCATCAGATTCATCATCCGATTCATCAACATTCACCACCGGCTCCATCCCAATTCTGATTTTTCTTACCAGGAATGGGGCTTTCAGTGGCAATTTCCCATCAACTCTAAGGTTTTCAATGACTCTAGCAAGACAGCACAACTTGGTGACTAGAGAAGGGAAGTATAAGCCTTTGAGTAACTCGGGTGATCTAATGAACATCTCGTCATGGAGGAGCCGGGTGTCACGCCCCAGAATCTGAGGAGCGCGATCGGCGCTCAATCGGGTGAACCCGACGGAGCAAGCCTTACCGAGCACTTTCTACCCCAAATCAATATGGATGCGGGACTCATGCCTTTGATTAATTTAGACGATAACACACGGTGTACACCACATTATTGGTTCACTTCATATCATAAAAATTTACCGTACATAAGATAGCTTCAAGGATTCTATTAGGGTTACAGCTTAAGGAGATTACAAGGTTAGGATTACAACATATACATACAGCGGATTCCCCGGGCACCCGTACATAACCCACACTAGTGTCTTTGGATCCTCTAAGGATACAACAGATAAGCATGACTAGGCCGGCAACAAGGCCCCGGCTATACCTCAAAAGTGAAAGCTGTAATAACAAAAGATACACCATATGGCCCCATAGAAGAAAAGGGGCTCACCGAGACTTTGAGTAGAAGAAACGCTCCGCTACACACGGTCGGCACCGTCCACTATGGAGCCACCTACAATCATAACACGAATGTAGTGCCCCCGGCAAAAAGGGACGTCAGTACATTTGAATTGTACTGGTATGTATAACTAAACACCATTTTACTAGAAAGAACTACCAAATAGATACAAGCAAATAATATGGGCAAATCAAAGAAGCAATTCATATAATCTTTCATACAATTTCCACAACATTGATTAGGGCATTTCTGTCACGTGTTCACCACTGTTCTCATTACCACCGCTATCCCAAGCGGAGTCCGATCACGACCCGACCGGCTAGGTCACCTCATTGGAGGCATTACTCTCAATCAATATTTCATTTCCTTTATCCGAAATCCAATATCAGCACATTACCACCATGTGTGCGGCAATGATGTCCGATCACGACCCGATCGGCTAGGTCACCTCGTTAGAGGCATTTCTCCATTCTCATTAGCCAACACTTCAAATCTTTATTCCACACATAACATAACAATTCGTGGGGCACTCATGGCCACCATCATCACATCGTTTCCCTTTTTTTTATATTCATTTTACAAGTTGTGAACATATACACATATATTGAGGATACTTCAAATTGCAATCACAGGTAAATGAGCACATAGCTAGCATGAATAATTCTTTGTTCCAATGTTGGCTTATAGCCCAAGTATTTCCACACATAACTGTACTTTCCATCATTATCAAATTGTCAAGATTGGCACATTATTCACGTTGGGGCACATCCTTCACGAATATGTACAGATAATTGCATATCAATTAATGCTTAATAACAAGCAATATGCTAACCAATTCAACTCTTACCATGCTTTCATAAATGACAACGGAGCTCAATTTCTAATAAAAAGGGATTTTAGCCATACATACCTGGGGTTGAGTCCCTTTTTAATTTCTACTTCCAATTCACCAAATAATCTAGCAACATCCATATAGTGCACAAATTAATACGCATAACTTAAATTCAAGCTTCACAACCACTACCCGAACATATCTAGGTTACTAGCCCCTTCTTTGCACAAGTCTTTGCTCTCACCCAATTACTCCCACTAGGTTCTAGGTTTTAGTAGACATGCATGCACAATTTTAACCACTATTTTCAAGAACCAATGCATGAGACTTCCTCCCCTTAGATTAAACCAGAATTTAAATGAAAATGGTTAGGGATTTTACCTGCAAGAATGGGGATGAAGATAATTGCTTTGAAATTTCCCCCGCCCGGATAGTTTTCAAGGATCAAATTTGAAGAAGGTGGCTTTCTCTCTCAAGAACCCTCTCTCCCTCACTCTTATTTGTTCGGAAGCTTGTTAACAATGAGGGGGTTGGGGTGTTTTATTAAAAGGGGGTCGGGGTTAAAATTTAGAAAATAAAAAGAAAAAGAAAAAAAAAGAAGCCGAGCAAGATCTGCGGTCGCATTCTGCGATCGCAGAGTTAAAATGCGGTCCGCAGATTGGACCGCAGAATTGCCTCCAAAACTCTGAGGATTCTGTTTGGGTCAGCGACAGGAATGCGGTCCGCATTCATGTTCTGCGGTCGCATAGTGCACCGCAGAACTGACATTCACAAAATTCAAAGGAGAATATGCGACGACTATGCGGTCCGCATTCATGTTCTGCGGTCGCATAGTGCACCGCAGAACTGACATTCACAAAATTCAAAGGAGAATATGCGACGACTATGCGGTCCGCATATTTGTTATGCGATCGCATAATAGACCGCATTTTCAACATTAATTTTGACAACTCTACTGTTCCGCTCTGCGGTAGAAATGCGGTCCGTATATCAATTATGCGGTCGCATTTTGGACCTCATCTTGACCTCACGTTTTAACCAAACCACTGTTTCGTTATGCGGTGGTAATGCGGTCCACATATTGGATCTGCGACCGCATTCTGGGCCGCATAATGGCATTTTTTTGGAAAATTGATTCTTTTGATTTTTAAAAGCTTAGATCAATACCAAAGGTCCGAACCGCGGCGAGCCTGCGAGCCGCGAAGAATTCTACACATTCCTAACATGTGTTCGGAGCCGACACCACAAGATTCTGGTTTATGAGCCAAAAATTTTACGGGGCCTCACACCGGGCCACATCAAAATCCATGTGGGTCATGAAACAGTAGATCGCTGCCGCTCGTGGTTGATTGACATCGGTCGTATTGCTGGAGGGCAACAACCGACTATTGATAATTGTGAGCCAACACTTAGCCTCCCAATTGAGAGACTGGGAGTTAAGTGTGATCCGGTGCTTTATCCATATATATTCTCTGTCTGGCCCACAGATAGTCTCAAGAAGAGTTGCCCACAAGGCACTTGATCGGCTATAAGTACGATAAGCATCAGATTCCCCCCTGAACACTGGGAGCCGGTACACCCTGCGGATGGCCTCGATGGATGCATTTACCCGGGTATTGCGTATAGTGACAACCCCATTCTCATGTTCCGGGCAGTTAGCATAGAATTCCCTTACCATCAGAACATTAGCCTCCTCTGGTTCCTCAATGAAGATGTCCAGCTGACACCTCCTCAACTCATGAAAGATATTCGGGCATTCCACCTCTAAGGCTTCCCGGTCAATATGCACCTCATGTATCAATTTCTTAGATGCCTTTGCATTGTACCTATCCTCCGCCGGTTTGGAGACAAACCTGGTGCGGTCAAACTGAGCCGCACTAGCTTGACCCCTAGCTCTTGAGGAACTTCCCGGTCCACTAGCGGAGGATCCGGTGTTGCGTCTCTTCCTAGATGGATTCATTTAACCTGTCAAACAGAGAAACGCCTATCAGTGAAGGTGTGAGATGTGTGAACTATGGGTGGTTACTCAGACTTCACCACAACCATGTCACATTAGCCCTTATAACTCCATTGGAGCAATTCCCAATACACCTTGTGAGGAAGACAATTCCTCACACATATAGCCTATATGGATACTTCAATGTTTTCCCTAAGTCACAAGATGTGCTACACCATTACACCCCATAACAATTAGTTCAACACCCACAAATATACATCTCTCCACCACGTTATATACATAATCCCTTCACAAGTAACTATAAAAAAACGAAATTCAAAAGAAAAAAGAAGAAAAATAACAAAAATCTACTAAAGTTACTACACAATTAAAAACAATAAGCTAGCATACTACTACAACACAATACAAAAGAAAAGGTAGGGGGGAAGTTACATACCTTTGATGGAAGAAAGAGTGAGAGGAATGGAGATGGGGGGGGGCGGTAGTATGAGTGAAGAAGAAGAAGAAGAGAGGATGAATTTGGGAGGTTAGGGTTTAGAGAGAGAGAAGATGGTGGAATGAAGGGGTTGGGCGGGTGGGTTTTGTTTTTAATTAGGGATTAGAATTTGTAAAATAAAAGAAGAATAAAGAAAGAAAAAAAGAAAAAATATTAAATAAAAAAAATACTTACTTGGTACCCACCGTGGTCGCGGTGGGTTAAATAACGTGAGGCAGTGTAATTGCCTTTCACCATGGTCCCACCGCAATCGCGGTGGGTTGGATAATTTTGAGGCAGAATCCTCGCCTCTCACCGCGGTCCTGCTGCGGCCGCGGTGCTGCCCAGTTTTTTTTTATTTTTTATAATCATGGTTACATACACGAATGAAACACAACAATCGTGGGTTGCCTCCCACGCAACGCCTGATTTAACGTTGCAGCACGACGCAGGCTCGGAGCATCACTCCTCATTCACGTACTGGGGCTCTTCCAACATTATTATCTCTCGGTCCCCTTTCTCATTTGCCATTCCAAGGTAGTGTTTCAACCTCTGACCATTCACTGTGAACTTATTCGTCCCATCCTCTGATTCAATCTCGACAGCTCCACTTGGTAACATTTGCACCACTCTGAAGGGTCCTGACCATCAGGACTTCAACTTACCCGGAAACAATCTTCAATTTGGAGTTGTATAACAACACTAGCTCTCCGGATTTGAAGTTTCGGTCCACAATGTGCTTGTCATGCATCAGTTTCATCCGTTCTTTGTATAATCTTGCACTCTCGAATGCCTGGAACCTGAATTCCTCTAGCTCATGTAACCTAGTGACTCTGTTAGTGCTTGCGGTCTCCATGTCCAAGTTCAACTGTCGCAATGCCCAAAGTGCTTTGTGCTCAAGCTCTACCAGGAGGTGGCATGCCTTTCCAAACACCAACTTGTACGGTGACATACCAATTAATATTTTGAAGGTTGTGCGGTACGCCCACAATGCATCATCCAGCTTCCTTGCCCAATCAATCCTTGTTGCATTCACTGTTTTTGTAAGGACACTTTTAATCTCCCTGTTGGACACTTCAACTTTCCCGCTCGACTGTGGGTGGTACGGGGTGGTCACCTTATGATGAACTCCATACTTTTCCAACAGCCGTGCGAATGCTCTATTGCAGAAATGTGTTCCGCCATCACTGAGTATAGCTCTTGGGGTGCCAAAACATGTGAAAATATTCTTCTTCAAAAAGCATGTTACCCCTTTAGTATAATTGGTTGGGAGAGCCACTGCTTCGACCCACTTGGAGACATAGTCAACTGCTACCAATATGTACTTGTTACCATACGAGCTGACAAATGGCCCCATGAAGTCGATCCCCCACATATCAAAAACCTCCACCTCTTGAATTGTGATCATTGGCATCTCGTGTCTGCGAGATATGTTGCCTGTCCTTTGGCATTCATCGCAACTTTTGACCCAAGCATGGGCATCCTTGAATAGAGTTGGCCAATACAGGCCCGACTCCAACACCTTAGCTGCTGTCCGAATTCCTCCAAAGTGTCCACCATATGGTGAAGCATGGCAAGCCTGCGAAATAGAATTTTGATCTTTCTCGGGGATACACCACCGGATCATGTTATCTACGCAGATTTTAAACAATAGAGCTTCGTCCTAATAATAAGACCGATAATCACGAAAGAACTTTTTCTTTTGAATTGAGGAGAGTTCATGAGGTACAATACCACTTGCTAAATAATTAGCAATGTCAGCATACCACGGTGCCTCCTCCATTGTCATTACTAGTAACTGTTCATCCAGGAATGTCTCTGTTATATCCTCAACCTATACATTTTTTTCAGCTCCTTCCAACCTTGAGAGGTGGTCAGCTACTTGGTTCTCTGTCCCTTTTCTGTCACGTATCTCCAGATCGAATTCTTGTAACAGAAGAACCCAACGAATCAAGTGTGGCTTTGACTCCTTCTTTTCTATCAGGTACCTAATTGCTGCATGGTCAGTGTAAACAATAACTTTCGAGCCAATCAAGTATGACCTGAATTTGTCGAATGCAAAAACGACAACCAACATCTCTTTCTCCATCACGGTGTAATTGAGTTGTGCACCACTTAGTCTTCTGCTTGCGTAGTAAATCGGGTGCATCAGTTTATCTTTTTGCTGCCCCAAGACTGCTCCTATGGCGTAGTCACTTGCATCGCACATGAGCTCAAATGGTTGCTCCAAATTGGGTGCAACAATGATGGGTGCAGTCACCAATCTCTTCTTCAACTCCTCAAATGCTAACATGCAATCATTAGAAAACACAAAGGGGTGATCCTTTTCAAGGAGTTTACATAATGGGTTAGCAATCTTAGAGAAATCTTTTATGAATCGCCTGTAGAACCCGGCGTTCCCAAGGAAACTTCTCACTGCCTTGACTGAGGTAGGAGGTGGCAACTTCTCAATCACGTCAACCTTAGCATGGTCAACCTCAATTCCCTTACTGGACAGTCGATGCCCCAGGACTATCCCTTCTTGTACCATAAAATGACACTTCTCCCAGTTCAGTACTAAACTTGTCTTGACACATCTTTTGAGCACTCTTCTTAAGTTGTAAAGATAGTCCTCGAATGAATCCCCTACCACGGAGAAATCATCCATAAGAACCTCCATAATGTCCTCCGCCATGTCTATGAAAATGGCTAACATGCACCGTTGAAATGTCGCCGGTGCATTGCAAAGCCCAAAGGGCATTTTCCAAAAGGCGAATGCCATACGGACAAGTGAATGATGTTTTCTCTCTGTCTTCAGGGGCTATTGAGATCTGATTGTACCCCGAATATCCATCCAAGAAACAAAAGTGCGATCGCCCGACCGGCCTGTCTAATATTTGGTCAATGAATGGCAGAGGGAAGTGGTCTTTCCGGGTGGCTATGTTCAATTTCCGGTAATCTATGCAAATCTGCCATCCCGTGACCGTACGAGTTGAGATCAACTCATTGTTCTCATTTTGTACGATCGTCATTCCCCCCTTTTTCGGCACACATTGAACAGGGCTGACCCAATTGCTGGCAGAGATGGGGAAGATGATTCCCGCATCTAACCATTTGATCACTTCCTTCTTCACCACCTCTTTCATATTCGGGTTCAGCCTTCGTTAATGTTCTCTGGAAGGTTTGTGCCCTTCTTCCAAGAGAATCTTGTGCATACAGAAGGCTGGGCTAATACCCTTTATGTCTGCCATGGTCCAACCAATGGCAGTCTTACATTCCTGCAGTACCTGTAGGAGCTGCTCTACCTGCACATCTAGAAAAATGGATGATATAATAACATGCAAAGTAGAATCAGGCCCTAAGAAAACATACCTGAGGTGTGCTGGGAGCGGTTTCAGCTCCAGCTTGGGTGGTTCCTCTATTGATGGCGTTGCTGGAGGTGTAGCCCTTTTTTCTAACTCAAGGGACTCGAACTGAGGTTTCCTTTTCCAGAATCCTTGGCCTTCAAGTGCCATGAGCCACTCAGCTAACCCTTCACCATCCATCTCCTCTATATTTGTCAGGCAGGCCTCCAATGGATCTTTAGCAGTGAGGGTCACATCATCTTCGTGCAGGATCACATCCAGTGCCTCCACTAGGGAGAAATTAGCATATTCACTGGGTCTTTTCATGGATTGCTAAACGTTGAATATGACTTCTTCATCGTCCAGCCTCATTTTTAATTCCCCAGTTTCACAATCGATCAATTCTCTCCCAGTGGCTAAGAATGACCTCCCTAAAATGATAGGTATCTCCTCATCTACCTGACAATCAAGAATAACAAAGTCTGCAGGGAACACAAACTTCCTCACTTGTACCAACACATCATCAAGAACCCCAGTTGGCCTTTTAACCGTGCGTCAGCCAGTTGCAACAACATCAAAGTCGGTCTAGCTCTGCCAATGCCCAGTTTGGTGTATATAGCCAGAGGCATCAAAGTTATGCTGGCTCCTAAGTCACATAATGCCTTTGCAAAGGCATAACTCCTAATAGTGCATGGGATAGTAAAGCTACCTGGGTCAGACATCTTTTGAGCCATGGGTCTTGTCACTACTGCGCTGCAGGTCTGCGTCAGAGTTACTGTGGATAGGTCCTAAAAATCAAACTTCCGTGACATTAGGTCCTTCATCATCTTCGCATAGCCTGGAATCTCCCTTAAGGAATCCATCAAAGGAATATTCAACTGAATTTGACGCAGCATCTCCATGAATTTCCTGCATTGATCTTCCTTTTTTTGTTTTAGCAGTCTCTGAGGGAATGGTGTAGGTATCACCCTTTGTGCACTGTTTGCTGGCTTCTCTCTATTGGGGTTCTGTGGTACAAGAGGTACCACCTGTTTTGCAGGTTGTTCACTCACCTTAGCCTTACCCTTTTCATCCTGACCCTGTTCAACCACCACTTCAGTAAGTTCTGCTGGTCCATCTACCTCTAGTGGAACTGGAGCGGCTGGTGTAGTCTTTTTGCTGGCTTGTGCAACTTCCTGCTCTTTGTCTAAATCTCTCCCATTCTGGAGACTTACTGCCATCAACTGGTTCGGGTTTTTCTCCTTGGGGTTAATGTTTGTGTTCGCTGGCAATATTCCCTGGGGGCGATTTTTTAAAGCCATAGACAGCTGCCCCAACTGAGTTTCAATATTCTTTATAGCTGAATCATGCACTGCCAACTTTTCCTGCATCTTACCATTTGTCCCGATGAGTTGCTAAAGCATAACCCTGATCTCTACCATGTTATTATCTTGCTGTTGGGGAGGTGGTTGATATGTCAACTGTTGCTGGTTCTGCTGTGGATAGCCCTGTTGTCTCTAATAAGGTACTGGCACCATTTGGCCTTGGGGTTGCATACCTCCAGGCTGTGGCATGTTTGGTCTGTATTGCTGATTTGGTGCCGGTCTCCACTGCTGTCCTCCTTGTCTCTGATCCCCAAAGTTGTTGACATAATTCATATCTTCTCTTACCCCTTTATTGTCACCTTCTCCACTCCATGAACACACATAAGACTGATTAACACAGGGTGTACACAGTCCTCCATTTGTTGTGTCAATAATATGCACCTGCTTTGTACCCATCTCATCAATCTTTTTTGTCAATATACTCATCTGAGTCATGAGTGTGGCTATGTTCTCTGCATGAGAATTATTTGGGTCAAGAAGAACTAAATGTACTATGGGTGCTAGTGTTGTACCTCTAGTCATCCACCCCGAATTCTGGGACATCTTGTCAAGAAGGACTTTGCACTCGATGAATGTCTTACTCAAAAATGCACCTCCAGCTGAAGCATCCACATTGGCCTTTAGATTGTCAACTAACCCCATGTAGAACCTCTGGCCGAGCATCTGGTCTGGAATACCATGGTGAGGACACTTCACTAGCATCCCTTTGAATCTTTCCCAAGTTTCCTGCAAGGTCTCAGTCGGCTGTTGCTTGTACTGCAATATTTCATCAATCTGCATTGCAGTCTTATTGGGCGGGTAGAACTTATTCAGGAACTGCTTGACTAATTCCTCCAAGGTGACAATGGAATTTACAGGGACCGAATTCAACTAAGTTTGAGCTTCCCCAGTCATAGAGAACGGGAACAGTAACAACTTGATAGCTTCCGGGGTCATATTAGGCTGCCTTTGGGTCACACAATTCGATAGAAATTTTTTCAAGTGTTGGTGAAGGTCTTCAATGTGTGACCCGGAGAATAATCCCTTATTCTGCAGAAGATGCAGCATGTTGTTGGTGATCTGGAATGTCTTCGCTTGAATTGGGGGCACATCTATGGCAGCCGCCAGGTTGTCAGCTGTAAGCTGTGTCCAATCATAAAGTACAGCTTCTGGAACAAGAGGTGCCACTATTCTAGCGTTTGGGGCAACTGGCTCGTCCCCGATATTTCCATTGACGTTCTCCATGTCACCCATTTCAATTTCAAGCTGGTGTGGTTGTTGTGATTGTTGGATCCTCTTGTTAGCACGGTTCAATGCCCTGAATGTTTTCTCGGGGTCTGAGAGTCCTTCTAGCAGTTCTCCAGTCCTCGAAGAATTTCTAGGCATACGCCTGAATTCCACAAGAGTTCAAACATGAGAATTTCAATGAAAAGATTGTTTAACACCTTCAAAAATTGATTTAAACTAATAATTCTAACACTACTTCTAAGTTGTAATAAATAACACCATTAATTCCCCGGCAACGACGCCAAAATTTGATCACGCCCAACTATGCCTTCTAAAAGACAAAGCGGTCGTTGCAAATATATTCCGATTTTAAGTCCGGAGTCGAATCCTCAGGGAACTAACCTATCTATTACAACTCTTTGGCAATGCTATTATCAACTCAACCAATTTCTAGATACAAGATTTTTATCAATCAATTTTGGGTTTTGTTAACTACTTAAAATAATATTAGAAATAACAATATGCCAGATTAAAGATAATTCAATGGTAAAATGGTCTAGGGCAGTGATTTCCCCAATTGCTAGTTTAGGTCTTGACTCCTTCACTATAATCTCGCCGTAATACTCTATGAGGATTAAGAGCTATGGTTTAATGAAATTATATCTCTATCAACTACGATAATTTACTAGAGCATTCTCTAGAACTACTCTAGCTGACAATATGTGCAGCTCTAATTTATCCTACCAAAGTTTCGTTATCTCTAAACCCACTTTTAAGTTCAAGTAATGAATCTCTTCAATTACCCAAAAGTGGTGTTGTTCAACAGCATTCTAACCTAATATTCTTTCTCAAGCAATAGAAGGTAATTAGACACGATTAATCAAGGGCCCATTCAATTAATCACCATACAAAACGTAGTTGAACAATCATACAATTAATCCGGCTCGATTATAACAAGTTGAGTCAAAACTTCAACCAACAATTAGTTCCATCAACCCTAGATAATTTTTTAGCTACTCATAACAAAATAAGATAAAACTACAAAGTTGTTCACAATGTATAATTACAAGAATTAAAAGGAGATAAAAAAACTCTAATGTTTGGTTGATCTTCTCACACTTGTTTTTGCCTCCAAAGTAGTCTAAAAACAAGCTTAATTATTTCTCGGGCGAGCTTCTAAAGTTTATAAGGATTTGGAACAAGTTTTCCCCGAATTACACTTTGGTCCCCAATTTTCTAGCAATTGAACAGTTCACCGCGGTCGCGGCAAGACCACGACGCGACCGCAGTGAAGGCTGAACATTCTGCCTCGCGTAATTGTCTGCCGCGGTTCCACCGTGGTCGCGGTGGATCTCACCTCAGTCCATTTTTGCTTCTTTATGCTCGGGTGCTTCTTGATTGGGCGTTTTCTTCACATTATTGACTCCAAAACACTCTGTAGTGCTTCCTCACTTAGTTAATTCCCTGCAAAGCAAAACAACACCAATTAGAGCATTTTATTATCAATTCGCCTATAAAACAACAATAAAGCATGGTAATATTAAGGTATAAATATCATCTATATAGCCTAATATCAGGTCTCCACTCCCTAGTTAATAATTTTCCAACAGTTGATGATATTTTAGACATAGGGTCTCCACTCCCTAGTCGCTTTTCCAACATAGGGTCTCCACTCCCTAGTTGATTTTATTTTAGCCATAGGGTCTCCACTCCCTAGTCACATTTCAAACATAGGGTCTCCACTCCCTAGTTGAATTTGCTTCAGACATAGGGTCTCCACTCCCTAGTCACGTTTTCAACATAGGGTCTCTACTCCCTAGTTGATTTTACTTTAGACATAGGGTCTCCACTCCCTAGTTGATTTTTTTTATACATAGGGTGTCCACTCCCTACTCTGCTTTTCCAACATAGGGTCTGCACTCCCTAGTTTAATTTATTTTAGACATAGGGTCTCCACTTCCTAGTCGCGTTTCCAACATAGGGTCTCCACTCCCTAGTCACTTTTCCAACATAGGGTCTCCTCTCCCTAGTTGATTTTACTTTAGACATAGGGTCTCCATTCCCTAGTCTGCTTTTCCAACATAGGGTACATAGGGTCTCCACTCCCTAGTTGATTTTATTTTAGACATGGGATCTCCACTCCCTAGTCGCTTTTCCAACATAGGGTCTCAACTCCCTAGTTGATTTTATTTTAGACATAGGGTCTCCACTCCCTAGTCTCTTTTCCAACATAGGGTCTCAACTCCCTAGTTGATTTTATTTTAGACATAGGGTCTCCACTCCCTAGTCTCTTTTCCAACATAGGGTCTCCACTACCTAGTTGATGATTTTCCAACATAGGGTCTCCACTCCCTAGTTGATGATATTTTAGACATAGGGTCTCCACTCCCTAGTCTCTTTTCCAACATAGGGTCTCCACTCCCTAGTTGATGATATTTTAGACATAGGGTCTCCACTCCCTAGTCTGCTTTTCCAACATAGGGTCTCCACTCCCTACTTGAGTTTATTTTGGACATAGGGTCTCCACTCCCTAGTCGCGTTTCCAACATAGGGTCTCCACTCCCTAGTCACTTTTCAAACATAGGGTCTCCTCTCCCTTGTTGATTTTACTTTAGACATAGGGTCTCCACTTCCTAGTCTGCTTTTCCAACATTGGGTCTCCACTCCCTAGTTGATTTTATTTTAGACATAGGGTCTCCACTCCCTAGTCTGCTTTTCCAACATAGGGTCTCCACTCCCTAGTTGATGTTTTAGTTTAGACATAGGGTCTCCACTCCCTAGTTGATGCTTTTTTTTAGACATAGGGTCTCAACTCCCTAGTTTGCTTTTCTAACATAGGGCCTCCACTCCCTAGTTGATTTTATTTAGACATAGGGTCTCCACTCCCTAGTCGTTTTTCCAACATCGGGTCTCCACTCTCTAGTTGGCTTTATTTTTAGACATAGATTCTCACTCTCTAGTTGATTTTATTTTAGACATAAAATCTCCACTCCCTAGTCGCTTTTCCAATATAGGGTCTCCACTTCCTGGTTGACTTCATGTTTTATTTTTAGATATAGGGTTTCCATTCGCTAATCTCTGTTTTCCTAGGGTACACCAATACCGACCTTTTATTGCTTTCAATAATTAAATAGTATAGAGTTTTTTCTACAAATAACCCACAAAATTTTTCTAGTGAAAACTAGGGCAGAAATTTTGTTCGTTCTTTTTTGTTTTGGTGCTTGAGTAGGTTATACTTCGAGGCACAGGGTTCGAAATGACCAAGGAGAAGTCTCAATCCAAAATAAAGAAAATAAAAAGAAAAGAAGTGAAACCAAAGTGCAAAAGCGGAGAAAAGATATAGACTGCTCAAGACATGACTGAAGTCACAAGCTTTGCATGTCCCGTCTTGATCCGAAAAGCTGGAGAAGAATGAACTAGCACCTGTGGCTAGCAAGCATCAAGGTTCAGATTAGAATCTGTATGAAGAACCAGCCAAGACTCAAGAGACTCATAGATAGAAATCTTGTAACTCGTAGTTGATAGGCCTAGTTAGTTTAGTTTTTCATTTTGAATATGGTGTAATAAGGAGCTCAGAGAGAGGGTAGGTAGAGCACTTTCGCCTTTTAAGCTTTGCTTTCTCGATCCACTACTATCTTACTAAAAAAAAAGAACTAGCAAGCAGTAAAACAACAGTAACAACAGTGAAATCACAGTTTCCCAGTAGTCCCAACTACCAAAACTTACAGAACTACACCGACTTGATTCCTTTATAGCCAATGATATGTAGGCAACCTCCGAAGCAATGTTCGGTCAAACTTTTTCAAAACACTTCCGAATGGAGTGTCAAACGGGAAAGAATTGCTCGTAATTGCTCACTTAATCTTTGCCCGAAAACTCTTCATGTTCTCGAGCAAAGAGGGGAAACTGTGAGCACCTAATTTTTTCCCTAATGCAAATCTCTCCTAAAAATATCCCAAAATAGTTTAGAGTTGTTCATGCATATTTAGAGTTATTTTAAAACCATAAAAAATCGTTAAAATGTTCAATTCTTTATTTATTGTCATTTTAAATTTTAATTGTATTTTAGGATTTAGTTATATATTAATTGCATAATTAATACATAAAAATACAAAAATTAGTCACTCTTGCTGTGTTTTTGCATTTTTAGATTCAATTAGTTAAATGAGTCATTTTTGCAAAATCAAGTCGAAATTGAGTGTTTAAATCAATGGGCTAATTTTGGAAATGCAAAGAAAGAAAGAAAGAAAGAAAGAAAGAAAGAAAGAAAGGGGCTGTTATGTGTCACAATTAAGCATATGGGTCGATTTTTCTAGACCCAATCGCTCAACTTTAGCTAGGCCTATTAACCTTTCCCCATCATCTCTAAAAAAGACCTAATCCCCTTCAAATGATAGAAGATCAAACCCGACCCCCCCCCCCCCCTCTTCACCTTAGAGCTGCCTTCCCCAACTTCCAAAAATCAATACTCCCTAAGTGTATTTCCCTAACCCAGAAATACGCATACACATAGACATAGATAGAGAGAGGCGGACATAGTGAGAACGAGGAAAGAGGAAGCCATGGTGATAACTTTCTAGGTGCTGTCATTAGGAATTTGAAACTCTAAAAATCTGTTCGAGGTCACCGACGAGTTTTCTGGGTTTCAAACCTCATTTTGGTTGAAAGTGCTGTTATTTTGCTGCTGAATTTGTTGATCCCTGTTTTCCTGGATTCAAACTTGTTGGATTCATCCTTTATTTGGCATTTCTTAAGTGACTCTTGTACAATCAGGTACTTACTTTTGAATTTGAATATTATTTGCATATAATGAATCAATTCCCGTCTTCTATAAAATTCTTAGTCGTTTTTCTGCTTTCATGTGCTGAATCTATCATTGATTATACTGTTTTTTAGTAGATCTCAAGTCAAATTGATTTCGTGATGATTTGTCTGTTGGTTGAGTGATGAATGGATTTACGTCGAGCACTAGTTGCTTAATAGACTATCATAATTGCATATCTTTGGCAGAGAAAGTGTTAACGATTATACAAGAATATGTCATTAAAGTTTTGTTATTTTAGTTCTTAATGTATGTTATTTAGAAATACAAAATCAATTAGAAAAAATTAAAAGGCATGACAGTAAGCACTTCTATTGCATGGTTAAATTTCTTATCCTTAATATCATGATTCACGTTGTAACTTTTTTTTTCACCAGATTATCTGAAACTAAAATACTAACACTTAACAAATAATAATGTTGTTAACTTGAAAAGAGAATTATTTTCCATATTCAATGAGCCTCACAATAATCTCAAAGTAGTTTAAGAAAATGGCTATAAACACCGTAGTTTGCTTTAGACGCGTAATTAAATCATCGCGGGTATGAGTACGGTTCTCGTGGCATAGTCGTGATACATAATTCTCAATTCGGGTGTGTATTTCATGTGACCCGACCATAACTTCAAACAACAAAAAAGTAAATATGTTGTAGATCGCGGGCACGGTTCATGAGACGCAATTCGTAATGTGTACAAGAACAAACGAGTGTGCAACATTGCGACTTGTTCAAGTAAATTCCATAAATATTAAAATTGGTTAATTAATTAAAAAGCAGTTAGAAAGTTAAAAATCCACAATAGGTTCCAAACATGTAATAAATCAGATAATTAGGCCAATTATTAATAGTTGAGTGACCGTGCTAAAATTATGGAACCCGAGAATTCCTAACACCTTCTCCCGGGTTAACATAATTCCTTACCCGGTTGGCTTTGCAGATTTTAAAACAGAGTCAAATTTCCTCGATTTGGAATTTAAAATAAAACCGGTGACTTGGGACACCATAAATATCCCAAGTGGCAACTCTGAAATTAAATAAATAGTCTCATTTCGAATTATGTCACTTTAATTGGAAAAACTCCCTATCCCCTCGGGAAAAAGGAGGTGTGACAATGTGGTCCAACAAGATGTTCCATCGACTCGATGAGGTACAAGCCATAAAAAATGCTGTTAATATTGTAGCAGATAACTTTATACTTTCGGCGGCTGGACTCCTCTTATGGTCCAGCATGAACTCTCTAACAAATTGAAAAAAAGAAGAGTACAACAATCTCAAGAATAAGATATCTATTAAAAGATACAAAATTCAAGGCTTCATCAAGGCCAACAACCAGAGCCTTGATGGATGAGTCGACTGAGCTAACAGAAGTAAGAATCCAGCCCGCCCAGGAGGAAATAAACAAGGAAACAGAGGTTGAAAAGGAGGCCGAGGGAGTGCAAGAGAAGGCAGTAGAAAAAGTGCCTGAGCAGGATCGAACTCAAGTCACAGGAAAGAAGTGACCGCCAACACCCTTCCCGCAGAGGTTGGCAAAATATCAGAAGGATGAGCAGTATAAGAAATTCATGGAAATGTTGAAGCATATTCAAGTGAACATTCCACTGATTGATGCCTTGAGGGAGATGCCTGGTTATTAAAAAATGATGAAGGATTTTATGTCTCGCAATTTCGACTTTCAAGAGTTGGAAACTATTACACTAACTCAAACATGTAGTGTTGTCGTGATAAAACCCATAGCTAAGAAGCTAGCCGACTTAGGGAGTTTCACAATCCCATGCACAATAGGCAACTATGCTTTTGCTAAAGCATTATGTGATTTGGGGGAAGGCATAAACTTCATGCCCTTAGCTATCTATAAAAGGTTAGGATTTGGACGAGCAAGATCCACATCCATGTTACTACAGCTAGCCGACCGAACGGTGAAGAGGCCATCAGGTATACTTGATGATGTACTTGTGCAGGTTGGAAAGTTTGTGTTTCTGGCAGATTTTGTCATTCTGGACTACCGGGTTGACGAGGAGATTCCCATAATTTTGGGAAGGCCATTCTTGGCCATTTGGAGAGCTCTAATTGATTGTGAAACTGGGGAGCTAAAGAAGAGACTGAACGATGAAGAGATAACGTTCAATGTGCAGAAGTCTATGCGGCGACCAAGTGAGTTTGCTAACTGCTCTCTGATAGAAGCTGTGGATGTGATTTTGGAGGAGGAAGATGCGTCATTGAATGCAAAACACCCCCTAGCGGCCTGCCTGAAGAACCTAGAAGAGGTAGATGGTGATGTAACGACCCGATCGATTGTTTTGAGCTCTAGCGCATCGTTCGACAGTTTGAGGCCATGAGCAGCTTCGTTTCAGATATTATGACTTGTACGTGTTGTCGGAATTGAATTTCAGAAAGTTCGAAGTTGAATTGAAAAGAAAAATTCTCATTTCAGAAGCTTTAAGATGGAATAATTGACTAAGGTTTGATTTTTGAGTAAACGACCTCGAAATCAGGATTCGAAGGTTCCAACAGGTTCGTATGATGATTTTGGATTTGGATGTATGTCCGGATCGGGTCTTCGATGATTCAGGAGTGTTTCAGTGCTTATTGTGGAAAGTTGGCATTTTGGAAGAATTTCATAAATTTGGGTTGAAGTGAATTTCAAGGCTATCGATGTCCATTTGGAATTTCGAGTCTGGGAATTGCTCCGTATGGTGATTCTGGTATTGGGTGCGCGTTCAGATGTGAATTTGGAGGTCCGTAGGCCGTTTCGGGGCCATTTGGCGAAAGTAGAAATTTGAAGGTTTTTGAGAAGTTTGACCGGGATTGGACTTTTTAATATTGGGGTCGGATTCCGATTCCGAAAGTTGGAATAGGTCCATAATGTCGAATGTGACTTGCGCACAAAATTTGAGTTCAATTGGATGTAATTTGATAGGTTTCGGCATCGAATGTAGAAGTTTGAAGTTCTAAAGTTCATCAAGCTTGAATTGGGGTGCGATTCATGATTTTAATGTTGTTGGATGTGATTTTAGGCCTCGAGCATGTCAGTGTTATGTTATGGGTTTGTTTTGTATGATTGGAGGGGGTCCCAGGGGCCTCGGGTGTGTTTCGGGGTGGTCTCAGATCAATTAGAGCTGTTTTGGAATTGAGATTTGGCCTTCATGAACGCGATGGGAGAGACACTAACGCGGTGAAGAACTAGAGGGACCTATGCGAACGCGAGTGGGCAGTCGCGAACGCGTGGAAGGAAGTGTGGGCCTGAGGCCGTTTGGCCTACGCGAACGCGAGGCTGGGTATGCAAATGCGAAGCAGTGAGGGCAGAAGGCTTTGCGAATGCGTTGTGAGGAACACGAACGCAAAGGTGTTTTCTGGGCATGGGCTTGCTGAACTTCGCGAACTCGAGGGTATTGTCGCGTTCGCGAAGGAGGGTTGCCTAGGCAATGTATAAGTTGCAAGAACACGGGTTTTGGCCATTTTTATCTCATTTCCTCCATGGGAGCCAACTTAGGAGTGATTTTGGAGCTCCATCTTCATCATTTATGTCAAGGTAAGTGATTCCCACCTATTGCAAGTTAAATGCTTGGATTGTATCTAGATGTTAACATGGAAAATCATGGGAAATTAGTGAAAATTTGGGGTTTTGAAGAAAAACCTAGAAATTTGTATTTTTGGATTTTGACCAGGAAATTGGACATGAAATTGGGAATAAATTATATATTTGAGTTCGTAGTGTTATGGGTAAAGTTTATCTTCGAAAAAATTCGGAATCCGGGCACGTGGGCCGGAGGGTGATTTTTATCGACTTTTCGAGCGGAATTGGGAATTGTTGTGAATTGAATTATAATGAGTATTAGAATATATATTTATGGATTTGCACATTAATTGACTAGTTTTGGATCGTTGGGCATCGAATGGAGTTGTTTGAAAGGCTTGGGAGCCGGTTATGGAACTTCGGAGCGAGGTAAGTCTCCTTTCTAACCTTATAAGAGGGAATTAACCCCATAGGTGAATTAAATTAATATGTGCTTTTATTTGTGGGGGCTACGTACGCACAAGGTGACGAGAGTCCGTACGTAGCTACTAATTATGCCTATGTCCGGATAGTTTTAGGTTTACACCATGCCTTGTTAATATCGTTATTTGATTATGTTTATTATTTGCCTTGAAAAGAATTGAGAACGAGTATGCTTATCAAATGCCTTGAAAAGAGTTGAAATTGAGGATTTCGAAACTTGAAAGTTTTCATTTGAATTTCGTATTTTTTTTCCTGAAAAAGAATTTAAGAATATTATAACAGCTTAAGAAACCTATGTGCAACCGCGTTGCAAATATGTTCCGCGAGCGGGATAAATTTGCACTACTCTCATGGGAGCAAGCCGTTCGCCTCGGTAGGTTAATAGATGCATCTATGGTTCGTGCCGTTCGACCCTTGGTAATGCACAGTTTATATTTATATGTTGGATCGGACCGTACGACCTCGGCATGACTTGCGCATGATAACTCTTTGGAACTAATACTAATTGACGTTGCTTTATTAGATTGAGATGTAAATTTTTAAATGATGAAAAATGAAATTTGGGAATTTCTATTAGTAAAAAAGGAATTTTTGATTATTTCTGGTTATTGAATTTTCAGCTATGTTATGTAATCCATGCTTAGATATAATATTGGCATTTTATTTTTAGACCATAGTAAGTGTCGGAGTCGACTCCTCGTCACTACTTTTTCAAGGTTAGACTGGATACTTACTGGGTACGCGTTGATTTACGTACTCATACTACACTTGCTACACATTTTTGTGCAGGTTCACATATATGTCTAATGGCCTTCTGAGAGCAGAGGCGTGGTTAAAGCGGGGACTTAGGTGAGCTACATTTCCATATTACGGCCTGTAGCCAGCAGAGTCTCCTTCAGAGTTGTTAATATTTTTTCTGTCTAATTTGTATTTCGGACAGATCCTGTATTTTATTTTATCTTCCTACTTGATGCTCATGCACTTGTGACACCGGATTTTGGGGGCACTTATGAGTTGTTCAGTAGTGTAGTTGAGAAAATATTATCATTTACTCTGTAAACTTTATCCCTTATTATTTGATTGAAGGAAAAACTATGATTTCATAAATACTAAAATGAGTAATGAAGTTAATTATTTTATCGTTGGCTTGCCTGACAGCGGTGTTAGGCGCCATCACAACTTTTAATAAATTTTGGGTCGTGACAGGTGAGAACTTGGCGGAGTGGGTTTTGGCCCTTGAAGGCCAAGGGTACTGGAAAAGAGAGCTCGAATTCGAGACTTTACATTTCGAAGAAAGAAAGACCCCTCCAGCTAAGCCATCAATCAAAGAGCCACCATAGTTGGAGCTAAAACCGTTGTCGTCCCACCTCAGGTATGCTTTCTTGGGACCTAGTTCAACATTGCCTGTTATTATCTCATCTGCTTTGTATATGTGTAGGTAGAACAACTTTTGCAGGTTCTAAAGGAGTGCAAGACTGCAATTGGGTAGACCATTGCAGACATAAAGGGTATTAGCCCAACGTTTTGTATGCATAAGATTCTACTGGAAGATGAGCACAAACCTTCCAGAGAACATCAAAGAAGGTTGAATCCCAACATGAAGGAAGTGGTGAAGAAAGAAGTGATCAAGTGGTTAGATGCGGGAACCATCTTCCCCATCTCTGATAGCAACGGGTCAGCCCAGTTCAGTGTGTGCCGAGGAAAGGTGGAATGACTGTAGTGCAAAATGAGAATAACGAGTTGACCTCAATAATAACAGTCACAAGATGGCGAATATGTATGGATTACAGAAGATTGAACAAGGCCACCCGAAAAGACCAATTTCTGATGCCCTTCATTGATCAGATGCTAGACAGATTGGCGGGGAGGTCACACTTTTGCTTCCTAGATGGATACTCGGGGTACAACCAGATCTCTATTGCCCTGAATGATAGAGATAAAACGTCGTTCACCTACTTGTATGACATCTATGCCTTTCGGAGAATGCCGTTTGGCCTATGCAATGCACCTGCCACATTCCAAAGGTGCATGATGGCCATCTTCACAGATATGGTAGAGGACATAATGGAGGTTTTTATGGATGATTTCTCAGTGGTGGAGAACTCATTCAATAAGTGCTTTATGAACTTAAAAAGAGTATTGAATAGGTGTATGGAGACTAATATGGTACTGAACCGGGAGAAGTGCCATTTCATAGTAAAGGAAGGTATAGTCTTAGGACACCTAGTGTCATGTAAGGGCGTTGAAGTGGATCGTGCTAAGGTTGATATAATCAAGAAGTTACCTCCACCCACTTCTGTCAAGGCCATAAGAAGTTTCCTTGGTCACGCCGGTTCCTACAGGCGGTTTATAAAAGATTTTTCCAAAATTGCTAGCCCTTTGTGTAAATTGCTTAAAAAAGATCACCCCTTTGTGTTTTCTGATGACTGAAGGGTAGCGTTTGTGGGGTTGAAGAAGAGACTGGTGACTGAACCAATCATAGTGGCACCTGACTGGGGACAACTTTTTGAGCTGATGTGTGATGCAAGCGACCATGTTGTGGGAGCAGTTCTTGGGCAGAGAAAAGATAAATTCATGCATCTAATCTACTATGCAAGAAGAACCTTGAGTGGTGCCTAACTGAATTACGTAGTGACAGAGAAAGAGATACTAGCAGTGGTGTTCGCATTTGACAAATTCAGGTCATACCTGATAGGCTCGAATGTAATTGTTTATACTGACCATACTGCTCTCAGGTACCTAATTGAGAAGAAGGATTCAATGTCGTGCATGATTTGATGGGTGCTACTCCTGCAAGAGTTCGACTTGGAAATCCGTGATCGAAAGGGAACGGAAAACCAAGTTGCTGATCATTTGTCCAGTCTTGAAGGAGCTGAAAAGAGGGTTGAGGTGGAAGAGATCGTGGAGACTTTCCTAGATGAACAACTTCTAGCTATGAGCCTTGAGGTATCGCCATGGTATGCATATATTCCAAATTACCTGGCGAGCAGTGTTGTTCCCTATGACTTGTCCTTTGTGCAAAAGAAGAAGTTCTTTCGTGATTGTCGCATGTATTTATGGGATGAACCATATTTGTTTAGGATTTGTACTGATAACATGATCCGGAGATGCATTCCCAAGATAGACCAACCTTCTGTTTTGTAGGCATGTCATGCTTCCCCGTATAGAGGCCATTTTGGAGGAGTAAGAACAACTGCTAAAGTGCTGGAGTCGGGCTTTTATTGGCCGATATTGTTTAAAGATTCACACTTATGGGTGTAAAGCTATGATGAGTGCCAACGAATGGGGAATATTTCTTATCGACATGAGATGTCCATGAACCCAATTCAAGAGGTGGAGGTCTTTGATATATGGGGAATCGATTTTATGGGACCATTTGTTAGTTTATATAGCAATAAGTACATACTGGTAGATGTGGACTATGTCTCAAAATGGGTAGAAACCGTGGCACTCCCAACAAATGATGCAAAGGGAGTTATTGGTTTTCTAAGAAAGAATATCTTCACCCGATTTGGTACTCCAAGAGCGATCATTAGTGATGGAGGCACCCACTTATGCAACCGGGCCTTTGCAAAGTTGTTGGAGAAATATGGCATTCTCCATAAGGTCACCACTCTGTATCACCCACAAACAAGTGGGCAAGTGGAGGTGTCAAACAGAGAAATCAAGAGTGTTTTGACCAAAACTGTAAATGCTACTCGAATTGATTGGGCGAAAAAATTGGATGATGCACTATGGGCCTACCGCACCGCATTCAAAACTCCGATTAGTATGTCACCGTACAAATTGGTATTTAGAAAGGCGTGTCACTTACCGGTGGAGCTAGAGCATAAAGCTTTTTGGGCATTAAAGAAATTAAACCTTGATATAGAGTCCGCTGGTACGAGTAGAGTCATAGAGCTTCATGAATTTAATGAGTTCCGTTACCATACTTTTGAGAGCACCAGGCTATACAAGGAAAGGATGAAGATCATGCATGATAAGCATATTCAAGAGAGGATTTTCAAACCCGGAGATGTCGTGTTGTTGTATAATTCAAGATTGAAATTATTTTCGGGTAAGTTGAAATCTAGATGGTCGGGACCATTTAGAGTTGTGCAAGTATTCTCAAGTGGAGCTGTGGAAATTAAATCCGAGGATTGAACAAACACGTTTAGAGTAAATGGACAAAGATTGAAATATTACCTTGGCATGGATGAGGAAAAGGTTGTATCAGTTACTCATTTGCAGGAGCCTCAAATGTTGCGTGAACCTTAAGTTCGATAGCCTGCGCTGTGCCGTGACGTTAAATCAGGCGTTACGTGGGAGATAACCCATTTTAATGTTGTATTCGTCATGCCGCGACGTTAAATCGGGCGCTTATTGGGAGGCAACCTAATTTTATTGATTTTCGTTATTTTCTTTATTTGTTTTTGATTTTTGTATAATTTAATATGCGTGTGAGTAGGTGCAGGATCAATAGAATACATACGAGCAAGGCTCGAGGTGACGAACTCGAGATAGATTGTGGAGGAAGAACATGTGAAATTCGGCTAGGCCAGTGCTCGTTCAAGTCCTCGCTTCGCGCAAAATTGCATGAGCCACAACTCTGGCCAAACTTTCCAGAAACAGCGAAGTAAGGCCAAAACGCGTGGCCATTAGACAAGTTTTTTTTATGTTCATAATAGCTTGTTAAATTTCCAATGATAGTGAAGCATGCCTAAAACGCGCGACCACTGCCCAATTTTTTTAAAACCCTGCCCCCTGTTTATTCCAACCTCAAAACAAAACCAAAGATGTTCCTTTGCCTTTCGTCTCTCGCGGCGCGCACACACGGTAAGTTCTTTCTTTCTTTTCCTATCTTCTTCATCTCCTGTTTCACCCTATCATGAGCAACCCCGTCCTATCCCCTATTCATGTTTTCTTTTTCTATTTTTTTTCTCGTTATTTCATTTTTTTTTTGGGATAGTCGATTACAAGGAGATCTTGTTGGCAATTGTTTATTAACTAAACATGGTGAGGTGGGAAACTAGAATTCCCACCACCTCACTCAAATTGGGAGGGCAAACCATATACCAATGGGATTAAAAGAAGCAACATGAAATTGTGCATACAAGGTATCCGATGAATTGCCTGAATGAGATTTTTAATAGGCTTTGTGAAGTATGAGTAACTGGCCTAAGTCCAATGGTATTATGAACTTTTCTTGAGGGTGGGGTGGCCATTTAGGTCTGTTGCGCGTCACTTGCATTCGTCTTGGATAAAAGTAAAACCACGACCGACTTAGGCACCGAAGTGCGATGCCTTCGTCTAGGGATTTTGTATGAGTTATGTGTGTTGCCCGTAGATTATATACACGTTGGCTACTTGTCTATAGTTGAGGGTAATTTTAATCTCTTTGCACATTTAGTAAACTCATTGGAAAATTACTTTTTTTTTAAAAAGGGAGAGAATTTGAGTTGTCGTACTTGAATGAGAGGTAGTCGGGTTACAACATCTCCCTCTGTTTGTCAAGGGACTGCTTAGTAGCGCGCTACACATTGTGCTTTTGTTGTTAACTGTAGAAGAATCTTGGACAAATTGTTAGTGTGCTAATTGTTGTCACTTGTTGAACAAGGCTATATGTTGACTCAACTGCTATGGTGTAATGGCTATTCTCTCAAGTTTCAGTCGTACTGTAATACTTGTATGTTGTAATATCAGTCATCAGAATAAAAATCTGAAAGTTACATGAATAGACTGATTTTGGTAAAGATGTTAATGGCACAGTTGGGGAATTCTGAGTGCCCATTGAATTACTCTTGATGACTTGATATTGCATGCTTACTCGGAGAATTCTAATTGTTTCTTCTGTAGGTACTATGGTTGTCTCCAAAACACCCACTTGTAGTCATGGAGCTGGAGGTGCTGGAAAGCCTCCCCCGAAAAAGACATCGACTGACAAAAATGTATCGGAGACAACAACTACAGAGAAGAGGACAAAGAGGAAGAATGATCCTATGGCACTTGGGAGCTCTGAGGTAGCTAATAGGGACACTGCTATAAGTATCGAGTTGCACCTGCAGAAACTCCCACAGCCGTCTAGGCAAAGAGAAGTCCCACTCTAAATCCGAGAAAGATATTCTAAGTCGCCTCCAGCTAAGAAGCGAAAAGCAGCTGAGGTGAAGGGGAAAGGTAAAGCAAAGAAGATTGTGGAGTCTGAGTCCGAGTCTGAGTCTGAATTTGACGACTCTGAGTACGAGATGATAGTTCCATTACCTGAAGGCGAAGGCGAACCTAGTGCTCCAGTTGACAACGCAGGGTGGCAAGATAAGCACGTGAGTGAGGAGGCTTGAAAATTGTGGGGTGACATTAAATGGAAACAGGTAAATCCCAAGATGGATGAAAGACCATTGAACATGAAGGCTGCCGGTAAGGCTTGTCCGAACATAGTGGCATAGATTGAGTGGAGATGGTGGACACACTTTGCACAAGGACCAAAAGGAAAGGCCAACCTAACACTCGTGCGATAACTATATTCCAACTGGGATACTAACAAAGGTGATGACATTGTTTGGGTTAGAGGTCACGAGGTGGACATCTCCGTAGACGATCCATGGCAGAATATTTGAGGAGAGAACGACGACCTGATCGGACACGTATGCTAGAAGTTCTATGTGATCCATCGTCTGGTGCTAGATGGAGTAAGAACCAAGGCTTAGCGAAGAAGTACTTGAAAAAGGAAGCCATGACATGGTTAAATTGGGTCTGCAATAGACTGATGCCTGCAACACACAAGACTATTGTCATATGGGAGCATGTTTTTCTCATTTTTACTTTGATGACAGGTATTGATGTGAATATTGGTAAAGAGATGCGGAGCCAGATGTACAGGACCTGGGATAACATGCAGTGGGGACTTTATTTCGTCCACACACTAACTGCAGTTTTCCAGGAGTTTGAGCTACAAATGAAGCGAGCTAAGAAGGGCAATGTGAAGTTGGCTACGTCCGTTGATGTTAAGTTGCATGCAATGGACAAAGCATTACATAACAAAGCTAAGAAGAAAATCTCTTATGAGCGCTTGAGTGCTATGGAGAACGAGATCCATTTGTTGAGGGAAGAATTGAAGGCGTGGGATCGTGCCTTGCGAGATGCTTAGGAGACAAGAGAGAAATGGATGAGAGAGCATTTTACTAAGATACTCGAGGAGGTTCGTAGACCGATGCCACCACACATTGGGATACAGACGGATATGAGTGACATTGAGGGCACAATAGTTGAGGACCCATCTAGAGTTGGTGAGCAAGCTGTGGGCGCTGCTAGTACTGGACCTATTTGGGCTAGAGAGGGTGAGCTGATAGAGGCAGTCGACACATCTGGTGTCACTTTGGAGGACCCATCAGCATTGAGGATCGATGGTCAAGGTCGGTCCTCACCGCAGCCAGAGTGATTTTCAAGGAGCTTCTAACACCCACTCTACTTTTGAGCTTTATTTTGTTTTTTATGATCTTTTGCAACTGAGGACAGTGCATATCCTTAAGTGTGGGGTGGGGCTGTCAGAATTATAATTGTACAATTGAAGTTATTTTATTTTTATTGGTGTAATCCCTGGTTTTCTTTAAACCACAGTTCTTTTTCGAGGATTCCAATTTTCTTTGAATCGAGCAGTAGTTTCTTTTTTAGGTAAAATTTTCAAAATTTTTGGACTTTTCCCGACGATGGATTTCTTAGGCAGTTTTCTTGAGGGAGTGAAGTCTAAAACAAAAAAACAAAAATATACAAAAATATTTTCCTTTTTTGTTTTTAGAAATGATAATGGAATGAGAAGCACTTGAGTATCTTTGTTTTTTGACATGTTTTACGACGAAACTTAGAGCTGTAGCATTTGAGCTGATTATCTTCTTCGTGTTCTATGTACCCACATGCCTTGAGAATATATGTGACTCTCTTTTGACGCTTAAGTTTATTTGTTGACTCCTGTGATTAATTCCATGTGTTAAATTAATATGATGAATGTGCTTAGTTATTTAACTTAAGAGTCGGGTCTCAGCCATCCAGAGTGAGTCATGTGCATTGTGTGATGTGAGGCTTGATTACATTCTGTACTATCTTGTGTTAGTCTAGAACTTGCACCGTGTGTTAGTCGAAGCGAAATAAGTAAGCTTTGTGAGTCTTGGAGATAATGTAGGCATTTCTTTGATTGTCCATTGAGCTAGTATGCCACCATAAATAAAATTGATCCTTAGATAGCCCATTTGAGCCTATAAACATTTTCTTTGGCACCCACATTACAAGATGATTCCCTTTTTGTTCTTAATTAGATCTTTTTGAACCTTTATCTCTGAAATCACTTAAGTCACTAGAAGAAAAAGGTGAGAGTTGAGGTAGCTTTTGAGTGGAACCACCGAAAGGCCAAAAAGTGCACGTATGTTTTGAAAGATCATTAGCCGGGCAACCCAAGTATGGAGAGTATTGGGAAAAAAAGAGAGAAAAAAAATCAAAGAAAATACAAAAAGAAAAATGAAAAAATATATATCTCCTATTCCTCTTAATCTCGGTTAGTGAATGCATAATTGTGCTTAAAGAAGAAGGGCCAAATTGTAAATGATTTTGTGGCATTGCTTGAATTGGTCATCAAGAGTATGTATCTGAAAGTTAAGTGTAGTGTATTAAAGTGCTTAGGAGGGTTAGTCGCCATACCCAAATATATGCTACCCATCCCTTAGCCTATATTACAACCTGGAAAGACCTAAATGATCCTAGACTTCGCAAGCTTAACTTAGTAGAGACATACGCTACCGGCAAGCCTATGGAACGACCTCGGGATGCACATGAATTTCTTTGAGAGAGTGAGTGAATTCTTTCGATTTGTAAATCCTTAAATTATACTTGAATGCATATTTGAGTGTGTCGACTAATTTCTCTCTTTGGTTTGTGGTGAGGGCACATGATTTACAAAGGATTGGTAAAGTCCAGGCATTTTGAGTTGACACAACAAGTGAATCATAGTAAGGAATTTATTGGAGTTGCACAAATATTTAAATAGTCTTGGCATGAGTCTACTTTTGAAGAAAGATGTCAATAGTTCTTATGTTGAGTTCTAAGCGTTGGTATAAGCCATTGTCATTGGTATGATGCTTGAGTATATTTTGAAAATGTGTTTCTTGCCATTGTGCTTAATTTTGAAGGTTGCTCGAAGACGAGCAAGAGTTTAAGTGTGGGGTGCTGATAAACGGCCAAAAATACATATTTTTTGGTGTACTTTCATCTCATAACTTGTGTGATTACGGTAGGCTACATGAATTTTTGTAGTGAATTATGCTCATTACGTGCCTTCTTCTGTGTAGGAGCAAGTTGGACGAAAAGTGAGCAAAAGAAGTTGATTCGCGACCAAAAGACAAAAGAAGAACTTTGCTCGTTCATTCTCGCATGCACCCGAGAGAGTGAATGAGCTAGCTGAGGAAAAACTTGAAAAAAAAAAATAACGGATTACGGCAAAAGGCATGGAAGTGTACGAGAGACCTAGAAGGAAAAGAAAAAGAGAAGCACTTCGCTCGTTCACTCTAGCGTGCACACGAGAGAGTGAACGAGCTAACCTGAAAAGTCTGTGTATTATTTCGCCCCATACTAATCCTATCCCATATAAATAGTCTCTAAACGCACCTTTTGAGGGAGGCGAACGGGAGAAGGCAAGAACACAAAGAAAATAGCAAGGCAGAGAATTCTTCTACGAGTTTTTCACTTTCTTCTTCTTCATATTTCCATTGTTGGTTATGACTTTTTATATTGTAATCTTACATAATATTATGAGTAGCTAAATCCGTCATCCGGGGTTTGATGGAACCTATTGGAGGATAATTTTTTACTACGTCTAATATAAATTTGCCTTTGAATTCTCTCTACTTGTTCAGCTATATTTTCATTGTTGTTAATTGAAGAGCTCACAATTAACTGTGCCTATTTTGTATGTATATTGCTCGAGAGAGAGAGTACATATTTAGATAGTTGTTGAACAGCACCACTCCTAATGTATTTGAGAGATCAATACGGAGGGTTTAAAGGCGGGATTAGAGATAACGAAACCTTGGTGCAATCGTAGTGAGCGATGAATTAGTGCCAGCTAGCGTAGTTCGAGAGAATATGTATAGTAATTATGATAGTTACTCGAGAGAAAGCTACAACACCCAAAGTACTCACGATCGGTAAAGAATACTTAGGCGAATTTATAGGAAATGTGGTGCAGGAGATTCCAACGATAGGGGAAATCATAACCCTAAAATTTTCCCAATCCTGCCTATAATATTTGCTTCGTTAGTTATAAATTACTGCAACTTAATTACTTTTCTCTTAGTTAGTAAACATTAAAATTGTTATTTAATATTTGTGAAGGTTGAATACTTGAATTTGTGCGAAACTAGTGGTTGTACTTAGTAGGTTAATTCCCTGTGAAATTTGACTTCGGGCTTGTAAATCGAATTATATTTACAACGATCGCTAGACATCTTAGGAGGTATAGTTGAGCATGATAAGAGGCAAATGAAAAAAAATCGCCTAACCTTCTGTTTTTATTGGGATCATAAAGGAAACATTACATATCGACAAATTTTCTTTGGGTTACTCTTACTTACTATTGGCGGTGACAACAACAAAGGACTTCAACCTTGTAAACATGAGAAAGATCAAGAAAGGAATTCCATGTACTGAGAATATTGAACACCAATCGTTCTCGGTCTATGGAATTCCCTTCTTGATTTTTCGTCCTTACACCAAACAATGTGATGCTATTGTTGTGGCTACGACCTTAATATAGGACAAGAGATATGGAGGATAAATATAGAAAGGTTCCTTTTTTATACAAATACATTTATTGCAACCGAGTGAAAAAAAAGGGAAAGTGGCCATTCTCCTTATATGCAAAGGACTAAGTAAATACAGTCCTATATTTTTATGGAAAGGAGATCATGAATCATGATTATTACTGTATACGGGTAAATTCAGGGGTAATTCATACCTTGATTTTCTAGTGAAGAAAACGGACGAAGGGTATGGATATACGAGATTGAAATCGAGGCTAGGAGCCCTTCGTATCGAGATTCATAAAAGGTGAACGATGTGTTCATCAACGGGCATGATAAGACGATGCTCCTCGGACCCAGAACGAGTTCTAAAATATCGGAAAACATGGTAAACGGTTACACACAACGGATAGAGGGCTGTAATACTCGTGCCTAACCAGATATCACGGCACAGATCTCGCTCGATGTTGGTTACAGATCAGTAATTAACGAAAAAGGAAGATATTTACCTTTTCTAGACTTGTACCAGGGATAAACTCTCCTACAACATAAAGATGATTTTTTTTTTTAAGACACATTGTAACACGCAAATCAAAGCAATACAAATTCATTTTCTGCCTTTTAGCTACTGTTAAAGTCCCTGTTCACTTAACCTGTTCTTCGTTCACGACCGAGCTCGAATCGAGGACAAGGTCATTGCTTGATCTTAGTTCAGGCTTGATCACGACGTCACAATTGGTTCGACTGTTTAATTCATCTTTAATTCATTTATCTTATATATTTAATTGTTTGCGTTGAATCAAACCACGTATCTTTAAAACCTTGTACAAATTTAATTGTTATCCGATTTGAAGGTAAACAATTACCTAGAACTTACTATTTTTTCTTTTCTTTGAATCTGCTTTTAAATCCCAACCTCATATGTGAAAAATCAAATAAAACGGTGAAAGTTATTTTTCACTAAATAATTTGATTTGATATAAATTCAAACTCAATTCGAGAGATATTAAACATTATATTAAGGGTATAGTTGAACCTTAAATATAAGTTGTTTAATATTTGCAAAATTCATCCGTCAGTGAAAATGATTCAGGGAAACTTACACAAATGTCTCAAATAAATCTTAACTTACCAACCTCTAGCCATTAGTCATAGACTTACCAAAACTAGCCAACAAAAATTGAAAAACCAAATAATAGGGTTCTTTCTCTCAAAGAATCATATGCAAAAATCACCTTCCATATTTTTAAGCGTGATTAGCAACATTAGATACAAGAGGGAGAGGAAATTTCATGGACGGGGTAGCAAATAAGGTGATGAAATACAAAAATCTATACAATATTTCAAAAATCTAAACAAAAAAGAAACTTTTTCAATGGGTATTGTTGAAATTCATTGAAAATATATAGATAAGTCAATATACAAAATTTGAGGAAGATTGGAGGTGATTTGGACTGGTTTTGTATCAAAATTCGTAATTAAATCGAGTTCAAAAAAGTCTTCTGCGACACATGTATCAAACATGTATCACGCATGTATCACACACACAGGTATACATGGATATACATGTGATACAAAATTGATACATACGTGATACACAAATGATACACAGTGTGATACACATATCATTTTTTTTTCATGTTCAGCTTTTACTTCGAATTTTCAATTCAAACCACCTCAAAACTTCACCAAATCATCCCAAAACTGAGATTCAAGCTCCTTAAGTTGTGCCCAATCTATTCTAATAACACCCACTCAAAACAAAGCAAAAATTTGATATTTTTGCTACAAATAGCTAATTGGCTAATTTGGCTAATATTAGTAATATTTTATCAATTGGCCAATTTTTGTAATGAGCTACTTATAAATGGACATAGCTGGTAATTTTCCATTGTTTTATTTACAAATTTGTTTTACTTGAAACTTAAAACTTATCTATTTCTTCATCAGGAGGAGGTAGCAGCTAGGGGTGGGCATCGGTCGGTTCGGTTCGGTAATGAATATTATTGGTTTTGCCTATCAGTTATCGGTTTACAAATATCATAACCGGATAACCAAACCGATAAGATATTGGTTATCGGTTATCGATCATTATCGGTTCGGTTATCGGTTTACCCGATAAGATAAAATAACTAAAACAGGTTCGCAATGTATAAAATAGTCTCGGTATAAAACTGTTTTGCTAAAACAGTGTTATAAGATTTTAAGAACTGTTTTGCTAAAACTCTTTTCAGAACTGTTCTATTTCACAAGAATTTAAATTTACTGCAATATCCAATAAAATAAACACTAACCGAAGTTTCTATCTTTCATTCTTCAACCCAAAAAATACACACAAAAATTCCAATATCAGTCAGTGACGAAAAAATAGAATATCAGTCATATTTTTACTTCGACACTTTCTGCAAATACAAGGGATCTAAATGAATAACAAATACACGACAAATCTCACTTCAACTTTCAAACAAACTAAGAAAAATCCAGAGCTAGAATGTTTTTAAACAAACTAAGAGAAAGATGAAGATGAAGTAACTAAAAACTTACACGAAGAATCAAGATGAAGCTGAAGAATGCGGCTGAGAAATGCGACTGAAGAGTGAAGAAGATGCGACTGAAGAATCTGATGGATCTGAGAAATGAAGTGAAGATGCGACTGAAGAGTGAAAGAAAGAAGCTGAGAAATGCGACTGACGCCGGCCTGAGTCTTGACAGGCTGACTGGAGAGTGCATGAGGCGGAGAAACTGAGAAAGAATAAGGAAATCAACGAGTGAACTATGAAGTATGAATTATGAAACCCTAGTATGTATATACTTAAGGGTAAACTAGTAAATTAGTTAATCCTTATTGGGTTATCGGTTTTACCCAATAACAGAATTGCCAAAACGAGCCCGAACCGATAACCCAATAAATTTTTTTTTAACCCGTTACCGAACCGTTAACCCAATAACCCAATACTGATAACCCAATAAATAATTAACGGTTCGGATTATCGGTTTTACCCGATATATGCCCACCCCTAGCAGCAGCAATGGTGCCAGAGTTTAGGATTTAAAATTTAGAGTTTAAATATAATAGAAAATTTAGGATCAAAAAGCAAAGTTGTCCTTGCGAAGCAAATCACATTTTAACTTCGAATGGAATAATCTTTTATGATCAATTATAAACTTATAATTTACATAGAATAAAGTAATTTTGAAAAAAATTGTGCAAGTGATCATATAACTAAAATATATTTGTAATTATGCATAAAACTGATTTCACCAGTCGCCAATAAATTCTATTAAAATTGAGTTTAATTTTAATCGATTGAAAGTCAAATATCTTTGCGAAAAAACAACATAGGACTAAAATTGAAATAAAACGATTACAAAATGACCACTATATTCCATATTAGTAATGCCGAATTTTATGTGGCAAATTAATGATTGTATTAACTAAACAAAATTTAAATTTAAATTAGTTTTCCTCATACAGTTAATACAAATTTCCAAATGAACCAATTGAATTGTATTTCTTACCCGACCCGTTTTTTAAGTCGCCGAACTCAACCTCATTTTGCTACACACGTGTCTCTAACTTTAAAGAGCGCCGTACGATCAATAAGAGTCTTACAAGCAGTGGTCCCCATAATTATCTGAAGTCTAAACTAAATCCATAATTAATTAACAAAATTGAAGATATCCAGAAGCATCCTGACCCTTCGTCACGCTAAAGCTCATTCTAAAACCTTAGAACACTCTAGAACCTAAACCCCCTTTTCTTCACACGATTTAAGCCTCCCCATCTTCTCCCTTCAGAACAACGCCATAATTTGCTTCACTGAGTTTGATTCTCTCTTTCTCTCAATTCATTGTAATTGCATTTTGTATTTTGCGGAAGAATGGAAGAGGATTTTGATATTCCACAGGCAGAAGGAATGGACGAGGATATGGATCTTCCCGACGACCCGATAATGAAAGTCGGCGAAGAGAAGGAGATCGGAAATCAAGGTCTGAAGAAGAAGCTTGTTAAGGAAGGTGAAGGATGGGAGACTCCTGAGGCTGGTGATGAAGTCGAAGGTAATTAATTAAGTAATTGCAATTTTATTATCTACAGTGCGAAACTGAATCTGAAATATTTCACGTTAATGTGTTATTTGTGCTCACAATGAAGTCAAAGCCAATCGATTGCACTGGTATTATCTGAAGTTCCAAAAAGGTCTGAATTGTTTCATGTTAATGTGCTACTTGTGCTCACAATGCTCTTTGGATTAGCTCATAGTTTATTAAAATGGTCGTTGGATTGATTAGTAGCTATTGTAACTAGAACACGGAAGTTGTTCATTTTAATGTATTATTTGCGCTCATAATGGTCATTGGATTAATTCTGAGCTCATTGTTATGGATTTTGGATTGGTTAATTTGTAATTGCTTCATCTACTTTGCCATAAATCTGAATGATTTAAATTTATTGTGTTATTTGCACTTAAAAGGATATTTGGATTAACTTTAGCTCATTGCTATGGTGTTTGGATGAAATAGTTCCAACTGTATCATCTACCTTGCGATAAATATGAATTTATTCGTGTTATTGTGTTGTTTGAGCTCACGTGGGTTTTGCATTAACTGTCAGTTCATTACACTGGTACTCTGCTTGATGGAACCAAGTTCGATTCCAGTCGCGATAGGGGGGACCCGTTCAAGTTCACTCTTGGTCAAGGTTAGTGAGAGTTTTCTTTAACTTTTTTTTGTATTTGCTGGTTAATGGTCGGTGAGTAATTGTCTGTGATTTGATATAATAAATGAATTTTATTTGCAAGATGCGGTATGTTTATGTTGCATTGGCTGCTCTGCTTAAAAGGAGTCTTTTAGAATTAGTCTGTTGTAGGCATTTACTGTATTATGAAGCCATAAAATGCGCCAGTTGAACCGTTAGAGATATTATGAGTTCGAGGGACCTGTTCTATTTCAGAGCCTCTAAATTGCTATAAAAGACAAATTGCGAAGACATTTTCTATCATTGAAGTGAAAGAGGCTTGATCAGAGCAGAATGTGCATAGGGGTTTTATTGAAGCGGAGTTCGTATATGGTAACCTGTGAAGCCTGTCCTCAATTTTATAATGGAATGTAGGATTTTTTTAGCTCCTTAAAAAGGTCTGAACTTTACGACAGTAAAATTTTGATAAATGAAAATCTGAAAATGCAGTGACGGTTATTCATTAACACTTTTATAGCTTCCTCCGAGATCATTTTTCATGTTTCTGTAAAAGATGATTGTAATGGACGACTCTGGCATCTCAAGTTAGATCTCAGTTATCATCCTCAATCCTAGAGATTAAGGGTTGAGACGACTGATGGTTATTAAAGAATGTAAACCAATACTGGATGTGGTTGAAATTGAATTGTATATGAAATCCTATTAACACCAAGAAAATACAGAATTCTTCATTATGAGCAAGTCTCTGATGTGTAGGTAACAAGCTTTTCCTTTAGATGAGAAAGTTTTTTCTTCAAGCTAAAGCTGACATGCTGATTTTTTCCAACTTATAATAGGACAAGTAATTAAAGGATGGGATCAAGGTATAAAGACTATGAAGAAAGGTGAAAATGCTATTTTCACTATTCCTCCGGAGCTGGCTTATGGAGAGAGTGGTTCTCCTCCAACTATCCCACCAAATGCCACTCTGCAATTTGATGTTGAATTGCTATCATGGGTGAGCGTAAAAGACATTTGTAAGGACGGTGGAATTTTCAAGAAGATCCTTGCAGAGGGAGAGAAATGGGAAAACCCAAAGGATCTTGACGAAGTACTAGGTATGTTTTATCAGTTTCAATTCAGAGGGGTCTATGCTTATATCTCTTTGGAACATAGATTAAGCATTTTCTTTTGCCTCACAATTTAGTCAAGTACGAAGCTCTGCTCGAAAATGGCACAGTGGTGGGAAAATCAGATGGCGTGGAGTTCACTGTTCAAGATGGTAATCTTTGACTTCATATGCCCTGCAATGTTTTATTAGGTAAATAATGCAGTTTGTGCTCTGACATCCTTAATGGAACAGGTTATTTCTGCCCTGCTCTTGCTAAGGCTGTGAAAACTATGAAGAAAGGTGAAAAGGTCCAGTTGACAGTGAAGCCACAATGTAAGCGGCGCTTGCTGATAAGTGACTTTTGTAGTCGTTTTCCAATAAGAGGGATCTCATTAACATGTCTGATTTCTTTTGCTACAGATGGCTTTGGAGAGAAAGGAAAACCAGCCTCGAGTGATGGAGGAGCAGTCCCACCTAATGCCACACTACAAATCAACTTGGAGTTGGTCTCGTGGAAAATTGTTTCAAGTGTTACTGATGACAAGAAAGTAGTAAAGAAGATCTTGAAAGAAGGGGAAGGATATGAGAAACCCAATGAAGGAGCTGTAGTTAAGTGTAAGTCACGAGAAAATCTTAATAGTTTGTGCTTGTAAGATGCATGAATACTCTGATATGACAGTTGTTTCGGTTTGCATATTGCAGTAAAACTGATCGGCAAGTTGCAAGATGGCACAGTCTTCATAAAGAAGGGCCATGATGGGGAAAATGAAGATGAACTTTTTGAGTTTAAGACAGATGAAGGTATGACTTCCAATACATTGTTATCTCTCCGGAGATCATTGCTTTGTGATTTTCACTGTTCTATTATTCTTTGACTAGTATTGATTGAGCTCTGATTTACCCTGAACAGAGCAAGTTATAGATGGGCTAGATAGAGCTGTAATGACCATGAAGAAGGGTGAAGTGGCACTGCTTACAATTGCACCTGAATATGCCTTTGGTTCATCCGAGTCAAAGCAAGATTTAGCTGTTGTTCCTCCTAATTCAACCGTGCATTATGAGGCTGAACTTGTTTCCTTTGTCAAGGTATGTGATGTTCTCTTTTTTTTTTTTTTTTAATTTTTATTTTCTGACGTTTAGCTATTTGGCACTGTTTCTGGATCTATATTTATCATATTCTCTCACTGGTGCCTGTAGGACAAGGAATCATGGGATATGAATACTCAGGAGAAAATTGAGGCTGCTGGCAAGAAGAAAGAAGAAGGGAATGCACTGTTTAAGGCTGGTAAATACATAAGAGCATCTAAGAGATACGAGAAGGTATATACTTAGCTTTTACAATGTAGTTCGGAGCAAGATTATTGGGTCGTTATTCTCTCAAGCAGCGAGAAGTTATGTGTGTCTGGTTTACCTAACTGCACAATTCAATAAATGCAGGCTGCCAAATTCATCGAGTATGATACTTCCTTCAGTGAGGAGGAGAAGAAACAATCTAAAGCGTTGAAAATCAGCTGCAACTTAAATAATGCTGCTTGCAAGTTGAAATTGAAAGACTACAAGCAGGCTGAGAAACTGTGTACCAAGGTATTAGAACTTTAAACACTGAAATCATCCCCCTCCCCTTCCCAAAAAAACTCATCCTTGTATAGATTCTACGCTTTGTTTTTCGCACCAATAGTGTGTGAGTGCTAGGGGCGAAGGTACATAGCCCTAAGGGTGGTCAACTGACCACCCTTCGTCGAAAAATTACAGTGTATATATAGGTAAAATATTAGATTCTAATGGTATATAACGTATATTGAACCCCCTTTATCGGAGATTTTTTACTATTCAAGTTTGAACACCCTAAATGAAATTCCTGGCTTCGCCACTGGTGAGTGCTGCAGGTGTTAGAACTGGAGAGCACCAATGTCAAAGCTCTTTACCGCAGAGCTCAAGCATATATGAACATGGCTGATCTGGATCTGGCTGAATTTGATATTAAGAAAGCTCTTGAGATTGATCCCGACAACAGGTATATAACCAAGTTTACTGTATTACTACGCCCCATGTATCATTCTGTCAGTCATGGTGCTGAAGCTTGTTCCCTTTTATGATGCAAAGGGATGTGAAGCTTGAATACAAAGCTCTGAAGGATAAAGTCAAGGAATTTAATAAGAAGGACGCAAAGTTCTACGGAAACATGTTTGCCAAGTTAAATAAGCTGGAAACGGCAAATTCATCTGTAAGTTCTAGACTATGTAACCCCTCGACTTCATGCAGCTTTACCTCTTGTTCTGATATTGACTTGTGTCACTGTGTTGTGCAGAAATCTGCTCCCAAGGAACCAGAACCGATGAGCATAGATAGCAAGGCATAACTTGACTTGGACATGATACATCACATAAAAGAATCATCATTATTTTCTGGCATAGCTGTAGTTTCTATGAGATGATGAGCTTTAATATGTGTCATCTAGTCGTAGGAAAAAATGTTTGCTGAATAAGCTGACTGAAATTTGGGACTTTGTATTGGTTATTTCGGATACTAAGTGGGTCCTCCTGTAATAGTCTTTTTAGGTGAATCGAACATATTTGGTGTTCCGTAATTTGTTTATTTTGTGTGTTAATACTTAGTGTGTTATTAAGTGGATTAATTAAATTAATTTGGATGGATGTCAAAACCAGTTCATGCACCTCTTAATTCATGAATGCCAAGCGAAGATGCCTTGGATCAATAGCTGATGACATTCACCTTTATTCCGATAAAAATAAATCCTCGGCTGAAGACTAAACTAACTGTGAAACGTAAGCATCAAGGCCCTTATTGCGGTTTAAAATGCAGAATTCTGCACCACAAGCCATACAATGTATATTAGCAATGCAAAATTTTACGTAGAATGACGTACGAAATCTATCAATTGAGTCCTTTGAGTATGATAATCTTCATTGACATTAGAATAGTTATGCATCAGTAAAAAGTGTGGCAATGTAGAATTTGGATACGATTTATACTTGATACCTCTTAGTATCCAGATCCCAGCAATGAGACTTGCATTCAGCAATGAGTATTTTCACGTCAATTTTAAGTCGGAAAACACCTTATCTTCTTACAGTTGATATTGTTTGTTATATTGGCAACTCAACAAGTTAGGAGCTGAAATTGCTAAATAAAAATATTTCTAGCTAGGATAAATTGAGCCAGGATAGTTAGGGGTCAAAGTGTACAAGATGAAAGTTAGCAACTAACTTTCTAGTGGTAGTTAGAGGTGGTTGTACAGAACCTTTTATCTCTTCTTTGCCTCTCATTTCCAGTTGATAATGGAGAACTCATCCAGTTGATAATGGAGAATTGAGTTCTCGATAATCTCTCTTCATCTCAATTCCTTATGCATGTCACCTTCCATTGAAAGCTAACATGGTATTAGAGCGGTCGATTTAGCTCCGCTATTAATCCTCCTCGGTCAATTACATAATTCCAATTTTCGATTTCAAGCTCACTTCGTCGGTGATCGTCGCCCCAAAGCTACGGTTTTCAATTCAGAGCAAAAATGGCAATTGATGAAGGAACGAGTGCTGAGATAGTGCTAGGGCACACTCATCTTTGTGTTTGCGACTTTCGGACACGCTCGAAGAGCATCTGATGGAAGAAGCTAATAGAGGTTGAGAACTACAATCTGTAGTCTAGATTTATGAGAACTGGATTGTTTACGAAGAACAAAATCAGATTCATTGACGGAAGCTGTAAAAAGGAGAACTTTAAGAAGGATTTGCATGATCAATGGGAAAGATGCAATACATTTGTATTATCGCATATAATGAATGTTGTTACCACGGAGCTCAACAACACTGTGGTCTATGCATATTCTGCATACAATGTATGAAAGGATTTGAAGGAACGTTTCGACAAAAAGGAATATTTCTAGGATCTACAATTTACATCAAAAGCAAGGGTTGGCACCAATGTCCACTTACTATTCGAAACTGAAGGATTTAGGGGATGAGTATGATGCTATGACACCTACGCTTTCATGTCCATGTCTTGAATCGAAGGTGTTTCTGGAACATATTCAACAACAACGTCTGGTACGATTTTTAAGTAGTCTAAATGAATCATTTGCTCGGGCAAAAAGGCAGATAATGCTAATGATTCCAACTCCAAACATAAATGAAGCCTATGCAATGGTAGTGCATGATAAGAAAAAGCGAGCCAAGGCAACTGGCATCAGTAATTTGAATATAGGAGCTTAGGCAATAGTATATAACACAAGTCATAGAGCTAACACAATGGCTTCCAATGTAGGTTATGGAGCTAATATTGTGGCTTACAACACAGGACAAGCATACACTGGGGGATACAAGCAAAAAAATCAGTTGTACTGTGATTACTGCAAATTAAAAGGTCACACTAGGAATGTTTGTTACAAGCTAGTTGGCTATCCGACAGACTTCAAGCCAATGAAGGCAGCTTTTGGAAGGAATGTGACTGCAGCACACGATGTGTAGATTGACAAATCTAAATGCCGTGATGAGCAGAAGTAATGTACAAGAAGTGCACCAGCGGGACATTTCTTCACAGAGGAGCAATATCATCAGCTTCTTCAAATGCTTAACCAGACTAACACTTCAGTTGACACAGTTGCTCATGCCAAGGTTACGGGTATACCACTGTCACTTCTGAGTATGATCAAGGAAAATAGGTGGATTATAGACTCAGGAGCTACTAATCACATGGTGTCTAGCCAATATATATACATTGACTATGTGGAGTTGTCCAAGAATAGTTTGAGCAAGGTGAAATTACCCACTGGAGAGGCAAGTGTAATTACACATTTAGGATCTTCTAGTATCTTAGATGGCATGTTGATCAAGAATGTGCTATATGTACCTAAATTTAAGTACAACTTATTATCAGTGTCTAAGCCGACCAAGGATCTGGGCTTATTTCTTTCCTTCTTTCCTACCTGCTATGTGTTAGAGGATATTTGCAGTGGAAAGGTGAAGGGGATTGGTAGAGTGGAGCATGGATTGTATGTGCTAGATCAGACTATACTTGTAGCAGTTCTTTAAGATGAGGGACCTAAGAGAGTTAAAATTGTTCCTTGGGATTGAATTTGCTCGATTTGACAAAGGCATAAACATGAGTCAACGAAAATATGCTCTAGACCTGATTTCAGAGCTTGGACTAGCAGGAGCCAAACCTGCTAGCACACCATTAGAAGTAAATCAAAAGTTGACCTCTCTTGATTTTGACAAATAGGTGCCCTCTTCAATAGACACTGCTCCAAACCCTCTCTTGAAGGATACTGGTGAATTTCAAAGACTAGTGGGAAGGTTACTACACTTATCAATGACTAGGCCAGATATATCATTTGTTGTACAGACATTAAGTCAATATATGCATTCTCCAAAACAATCTCACTTAGATGTGGCTAGAAGAATTGTCAGATATGTCAAAAGTGCACCGGGCAAGGACTGTTATTGCCTTCATCTGGTGATGGCACTCTAAAGGCATATTGTGATGTCGATTGGGGAGCATGTCTTCAGACTAGAAGATCAGTCACTGGTTACTCAGTGTTCTATGGGAATGCTTTGGTTTCTTGGAAATCAAAGAAGTAGGAAACAGTGGCAAGGAGTTTAGTTGTAGCAGAGTTTAAAAGCATGGCTTCAATTGCGGCTGAAATTCTTTGGCTAATTGGTCTGTTTGGTGAATTAGGTGTTAAGCTGCAATACCTTGTGCCTCTGTTCTGTGATAGCAGGGCTGCGATCCAAATTGCAGCAAATCCCATTTTTCATGAGCGTACAAAATACATAGACATCGATTGTCACTTTAACCGAGAGAAGATAAAGGCTGGAATTATAGGGACTGTGTATGTGAACACTAAGGAGGGGATAGCAGATTTACTCACTAAGGGTCTTGGCAAAGCACATCACCATCATTTACTTTGCAAGCTTGGAGTGAAGAACAATTTTCTACCCTCCAGCTTGAGGGGGTTATTGAGCGAGGATAGTCAATACTGTATATGTATTGGAAGTTTAGGGGTCAAAGTATACAAGATGAAAGTTAGCACCTAACTTAACCAATTAGTTGTATTAATAGTGGTAGTTAGAGGTGGTTGTAAAGAACTTTTAATCTCTTCTTTGCTTCTCATTTTCGGTCGATAATGGAGTTCTCGATAATCTCTCTTCATCTCAATTCCTTATGCATGTCACCTTCCATTGAAAGTTAACAGGATAGTACAACGAATTCATGATTGACACATAACCATAAGATGTAACCTTATTATTACACTAGTTTGCATCCTTATTTCTTACTCTTTCTAAAGCCAACTTCTATTAAGAAGTGAGTCCTTTTCCACTTTGAAACAACGGATTAAGAAGTAATTATTTTTTTGGTTATCCTTATCAGCAGTTTCAGTCTCTATTCAAATGCATTATTGATTATTGTAAAAGGAAGAAATGTTTAAATTTGACTTTGCTCAGAGTGGTTAAATGAGACCATGCCTTTAGCAAAATAACTCAAATATTCCCTTCGTCCTAATCTAAGTACTCCATCATACTTTTATTTATAATTTGTCCCAAAAGAATATTATATATATTTCTTGAAATAATTTAAATTCAAACATTTCAATTTGATAATTTATAACTATATAAATTTTTATAGCTTGTATTAAAATACAAGTTTTAATTATTTATTTTCGTAAACTCTTTGTCTGGTATAGAGATGCAAGATACAAGACCAATATTGAAAAGCCCAAAAATGATAGAAGTTCAGCCCAGCCCAAATATTATGGCCTACACTTAACGTTAGGGTTTTAGTGCGCTCGTTCCAAGTAGAAGATAGTTGTGAGGGAGTGTCTCTTAGCTGCTTAGCTCTCAGCAACCATGGGTATGAATCTGAACCTGCTCCTCCCTTCTCTACTACTATAATTTACAATTTGCCTTAAAATAGAGACGGTTTTATTAATTTTACGTTCTTTTATTTATGGATTTGAAGGTATCTCACGAGATTCTATGCACAAAAGACGTGCCACTGGTGGCAAGAAGAAATCTTGGAGGAAGAAGCGAAAGTTAGTTCTGCTGCCTTTTTCTTTTTCCTAAATATCTGTCCCTATCTCTGTCACACGGATCTTTCATTTTCGGTACTAAGTTCGTATATTTAGCTAAAAAACTGCGTGTAACCGTACTGTTGTATGAACACAACGCGTAAACTAGTCCAATTAATGTAGGTCTCTGTCTGTTTAGGATTTGTTTGGCTCGAAGGAAATAGTTTTTCAGTGAAATAAGTGGTTTTCTCTGGTGTAAGGTTGGTGATTGGAAAATATTTCTCGGAAGAGTGTTAATTAAATATCGATATTAATGTCAGAAAACAGGATAGTGTTTGGACGGAATTTTTTGAGTTGTATATATTGATAATGATAATTAAGTGGTAGTTGGAGCAAATGATATGGAGTTAATGTTGGGATGGTAGTAAAGAGGAATGATTTCCATGCATAAGTGAGTAAGTCATTTTTCCATTTTGGTGCAGAAAATGACTCCATTTCCGGCAACAGTCATATTCCTTCCTATTCGTATCTGTTGTTTCTAAGGTAGAAGTAGTTATTGCTGTTTCTAATTAGTGATTAGAAACAGCAATTACTACTTTGCTGCTCATGATTTAGTGATTTATTGCTGCTCATGATCTATTTCAATCAAACAACCAACTATGTGTCATCCAAATTTGTTGGGGTCGACGATAGGAACAATTATTATATAAAGTAAGATAACGGAACAAAATTGATTTGTAAATCCTTGTCAAAACTAATTAGTGCAGTAAAAGAGATTGATTAAATGGTCTTTTGGTTGATTTGGTATAATAAAACAAAGAAGGGTGATAACTGATATCTATAGGGAAGCAAAATAAAGGACATAAATAGTTATAACAAAATGACTGCTATGAATATACCCTTAGCAGAGCTGATGTGGAAAAAAAAACTGATAAACTATGTTATTGCAATATGATGTTGTAGAGGAAAGACTCACAGCAATCTGGGCACACAGCTAATTTGTGTGAATCTGTTTTCTTGTTGTTAAAGGTATGAGCTTGGCCGTCAACCTGCGAATACCAAGATCTCAAGTAACAAGACAGTCAGACGAATTCGTGTTCGTGGTGGTAATGTGAAATGGAGAGCACTGAGATTGGATACAGGAAACTATTCATGGGGCAGTGAAGCAACCACCCGCAAGACTCGTATCCTTGATGTGGTCTACAATGCCTCGAACAATGAACTTGTTCGCACACAAACTCTAGTTAAGGGCGCAATCGTTCAGGTTGATGCAGCACCTTTTAAACAGTGGTACCTCCAGCACTACGGTGTTGACATTGGTAGGAAGAAGAAGGGGGCTGCTAAGAAAGAAACTGCTGAGGTACCCAAAATTTGTTATCTTTCTTCAATACCTGAATATCATCATTTAACTAGTAGTTGTTGATTCCTTGCTATCTGGCTTCTACAGCTCTTTCATTTTGCTAATCAATCATAATTCGTCATGCCATGCAAGTTATTACTGGTGACCATGATCTGTGACTTGCTTTGACATAGTTTCGTGTTTGGGCATGATTTTATGATAAAAAATAACTTGCCCAAGATTGAGAAAAAGAGAGAAAGATAGAAAATGTACAAGTGAAGGGAAAAAATAGGTCTTACTGAGGATACTCTTGACCTCTTACAATGCAGCGAGCAAAGGCTGTCTTTCATATTGTTTGATCCCTGCTCAGTTACATTCTGCTGTATCTACATGAAGATATTTTTCTTAATTTACCAACTACTGGTTTACCCACTTTACCTACAAGTGTTCAACTCCAGCAACTATTTTATTCAACTTTCATAACAGTATCCTTACATTTCCATATGTTGGGAATCTGAATGTCCAAAGTGATGTTTAAGTAGTGATGCCTTCCTTCTTTCCCTTATATATTGATGACTTTTTTTTGGTCGACAATGGCAGGAGGGAGAAGGTGCTGCTGCTGCAGAGGAAACTAAGAAGAGCAACCATGTAGCCCGAAAACTTGAGAAGCGCCAGAAGGATCGCAAACTTGACGCTCACCTTGAAGAACAATTTGGTGCTGGTAGACTCTTGGCCTGCATCTCATCTCGGCCCGGTCAGTGTGGCAGAGCTGATGGGTAAGTTCCGCCTTAACACCCCTGCTTTATGGCCCAAGGCCTACGACAATGTTTTTGCATCTGTTCCACTCAAGTGATGATATTTGATTGCGATTGACAGGTATATCTTGGAAGGCAAAGAACTTGAGTTCTATATGAAGAAATTACAGAAGAAGAAGGGCAAGGCTGGAGCTGGTGGAGCTGCTTAATTGAAGCTCTTAGATTTTTGAGACTAATTTATATGTTTTTCCTTTTTACTCGTTAATCAACTTGGTTTGTGAGGATATTTTTCTATATGCAGTATTCTTTAATCCTACCATGAGTTGACGTTGATGCCTGGACTTCATCTGTTATTGTTGGCGTTGATTAGTTGTTTCAGTTTCTTCTGAAAATCTTTTGCCATATTTTTAACTATAAATTACAGAAATTGTGCTGCAAATTACTAGTTTGGTAATTAGTTGTTGCAAATACCGAAACATTGGTTCAAAGCTTCTTCACTCTTGTATTTTTCAAACCTATTTTGAAAATGCTTTTCTTGAGTCGTTTGCGTGCATTTTACCCTTGTCAGACCTTATTTATAGGATCACATTGGTTATGTTATTGTTGTAAAGACTGAAACATTGGTCTCAGATATCTTTCTCCCAACTTCGAAGCAAGATTCTACCTCCCTAGACCTCACTGGATTTTTTGTTGTTTAACTTCTAAGCAAGATCAAACTAGAGTTAGAACTAAGTGTGGCCCTTGGCCTTGGATTAGTATATTCTTTTACCTATGTATTAGTGGAATTCAAGATGTCCAAAATATCAGCTTTAGTACAAATTAGTGGTTGCAAAACTTGTAGTAAGAGATGATATAACTTGTCGTGCATCAAACGAGGAAACACGACCATGAGTGGATGCTAACAGCCACTTTAACTTGGAAAAGATGGAATGACATTGACAGAGATCAAATGATCAAATATCACTTCCAACTACACTATCTTACTAGTTGTACACCATTATTGCTCTTTGTTACCTGGTTGGTAATTGTTCTTTTTAACTTCTTGAGCCGAGAGTCTATCGGAAATAGCCTCTCTATTCCATTGGGGTAGGGTCAAGGTTTACGTACACTCTATCTTCCCCAGATCCGACTCGTGGGGTTTTACTGGATTGTTGTTGTTGTTGTATCAAACTTGTACTAACAACAACATCAGGATCCAAAATTTAAAATTAATGAGTGCGACTAGACATATTATGAGTAACAAATACATATTATGTATGTGTATGAAATGTGGTCGATTAGACAGCATTTGCTGCTATCTCTTCTCATCCACCATTTTAACGATTTTTAGGTTCAAGTATATTTTTCTATATAATTTGCTGATTCTAGATCAATATCAATATTCAATAAAATACACGTCGTCGACCTTTACTTGCACAATTTTTTGTTACTCCACGACTTTTTTTATGTTATGGGGTCCTCAAAACTGATTTTAGGGGCTCTTCACTTTCAAAATTGGTTGAGTCTCAAGTGTACTTCAGAAAGAGTGAAAAATATAGGGTTCTTTTTCTCCTCTGATGCACTTAATGTAACATAGAATTTCATCATAACTAGAAAGAATGCAAAATGGGTGTTGAGGAGACCAACCATTTGGTCATTCAGTTGTAGTTTTTTAAGTCCTAAATTTGTGTCCTACAAAAAGACATCAAATTTGCGTCAGTGTCTATTCACCTCTATCTGTCTAAAGTCTTAAAAATTCTTTTCTTGATAAAGACTTCACTTCTTTTTGCTTGTCATTTTTCACTTTAATCTCGTGTCCAATTTGTGGAGGCTCTAAGCTTTTCTTCTTTTATGAAACCATTATCAGATTTTGGTACATGATTATGACCATGTAACAAAAAGCCCTTTAAAGGACTAATGAATAAGAAGGTATTCACATGTTGGGTCGGAGCTAGTCTTACGGTTGCACGTAGGATCGAACTCAATAGCTTTGATACAAATATTGTATTTGTCATAAGAAATACATAGAAATTATTAAGATAGAACCCAATAATTTATATGAATTTCAAACTCGTAAACTTCAAATCCTAGCTCCGTCTCAGTTCACATGTATGTCTGATACACCATTTGAGACTTTACTAGCACGGTACAAACACTATTATACAACCATTTTTTTTTTGGGTGTTGATTTTCGTTAATGGGTGTTTAGCTGCACCCATTACTGAACTGGGTCAATACATAAAAATATCTGAATATAAAAATAGATCTGATACCAATACGACTATCTATTTCAATAGTTGCATTTAAACTTCATGTCAACCTAAAGATCTGATCATAAATATGTTGTTTGTCCGGTGAAAGAATGCTCTTGTTTTGATCATTTTGAGGTATATATGGAATAGTTATTTTATACGTTCATTTATCTTTCAAAAATATTTGTGTGTGGTTTTGTAGGACCCAAGTGCCGTGAAGCTGAAACTTTTTTCTAAAAAGTATAATTATACAAATTCGCACCTCTTGTTACAACAACAACAACAATAATAACAATAATAATAATAATAATAATAATAATAATAATAATAATAATAATAATAATAATAATAACTAATGCGTGATACTCTCGTTTTTTAAATTAAAATCTTAAATCCACATTTGTAGGCAACATGTTGAGTTACCAACAAAGTCAATTGTCAAATTGGTACGACTAGAACTTTTCGTACTTCATTCCAGGGGCTAGGTGGGGTTTGGTAGGGCTCTCCATAGATGACTTGCATATTGTATTGTGCCCCTTTATGGTAGTTACTGGTCGATATTATTGCATGCCATTTAATTTATGGTTTTATGTTTAGATAATTATTTATGCGATTTCTGCTGGAGTCACTAATTCTTTTTTGTTTTTCTTTTTCCTTTTCCTTTTCTTTCCTGAGCCGAGGGTCGATTGGAAACAGCCTCTCTGCCCTTTCGGGTAGGGGTAAGGCCTACATATTACCCTCCCCAGACCCTACTTTGTGGGACTATACTGGGTAGTTGTTGTTGTTGTTGTATAATGTTTAACGTGCAAGGAAATAATTTGTCTTCTAAAACATCTTTTTCACTAATCTTATCATCTGCATATAAAAGCACAAACTTATCTAGGTTCAATTTACTTTGTAAGTTTGCCAATTAAGTTAATTTTTTTGGTAGTAATGGTAATAAAGTAGAAAAATGACTAGAAGCAAAGAAGCCACTTACCTTTGCTCTTTTTTGCTTTTTGAGCTTTATGACACGCTCATGAAATAGCTCATGACCTAATGAACAATGAGTTTATGTATTCAACAAAATTTAGTGTTTTGGCGTCAGAACTGTATATATGTGAAAAATATAAATAGAGTTAGATATACATTTCAAAACTTACAACGTCTAAATTCTGAATTTATTACTGTGAACGTAGACATAGTTTTCAAGATCCTATCAGCTACTTAACATGAGGGAGAAATTAATGAAATATATAGATAAATATGGATTCAAGATTTTAAACCAATTGATGGAGAAATAATATTGCTGATTTATAATTTTTCAGAATTATTTTGCAAATGCCTCAAATGTCTTTTTACTGGCCAATTCAATTCATTCCTGATTAGTCTTTACTGGTGCATTCAAAAAAGAAATTGAAGTATTTGAATTTTAGATAGGAAAAAGAAAAGTAGAATTAAAATGCACAAATGTTATTTATCTTATTCAGACAAGGAGAGTTACATTAGACTAAGAACAAGACATCAAAGTCCTGCCTGGAAATCGTCATAAATATTACTATTAAAATAGTAATCTAACCTTGGAAATTAATACTGAAATTATTTGATACTCCTATATAGTTAAAGTGTGAACACAGATCTAAATAACCCTAATAATAGGGGATTAGATTAAAAATTCAACTTCCTAACGGATCTCATTACATGATTGTTGTTTTCTTCTTTTTTAAAAATTTCCTTTTTTGGCTGGGGACAAGTCTGTCGGCCTAAATATTTTGAAGTATTATTAGCAAAATGTTGTGTGATTGTTAATCGGACCTAGTGTCGTGGTAAATAAAATGGGTGCAAATATTAAAGATCTGAGTCCAAATTCTAACGCGACATAAAAAATACTATAGGGCGCAGTTCGGATTGGATATGCGACGTTCGATTTGGACTTTCGCTTTTCGGATTCAAGCGATGACAATCCAAATCAGTTCGAATTGGATCAAATTTTTTAAGTTCAATTTCAGATTTATCGTTTTGGATATTGTGAACTTTCGATTTTGAGTGTATAAATTGAGATGCTTCTACTTTTTACAAAAATGATCCAAATGAAGTACTCATGTTAAATTGATGGAAAAGCTCACTCATTCTTGCCGCAATCATCCAAATAAAGTATTCAAGTAATAAAATTGTTATTATATTAAAAGAATACAATAGAGACAATAATTCGGCCGATAATAAGTAGCAATAGTAAAATCATGTTCAAATAAAAAGTATCCTGACAGTAACTTAGTAATTAATATTGAATATATGAGATAATATCAAATGGGTGGGGTATTAAACTTATTACTATTAGTATATGGATAATGGACTAAATATAAAGTATAAAAATTTCGAGTTTTCGGATATCCAGAAATCCGAAGTATCGAATCCAATATTCAATCTAAAATCATAAAATTTTAAAAGTTAAACTAAGCTATTTTTTCCTCTGTTTAAACTTTGATGGACAGATATAACAAATATTGAACTAGTGAAAGATAGGAAATATTCGATGAAAGAATTCACATGCACGTAAGCTGGTTCAAAGTTCAAACATCATTATTTAAAAAATATTATTATAACAATAAAAGAAGATCATTTTTGAAAGAATCTTTCTTATTAAAACAAGATAAGGCTGCAAAGCAGAAATATATTGTTAAACCCCATAAACTTGATTTTTACTAACCTTCTTTCATCAAATGATTAATCTATCTTTTTCTAAGGTATCTTTCCATACATGAACTCCACTACTCCATTTAACCTTTTCCTTGTTCATTTAACTATTTTGAATTAGTTGAAAAATTATTAAAGTTCTCTGATTTCATTGGGTCTAGTCAGAATCTCACCAATTGACAACCTGGGATTTTTTTATGTCCCCCCTTAATTTAATCATTATTTCATTAAGAAAATAAGTTAGTAGTAGATTTACTGACTTTTTTGTTTAATTGGACTTTTCAGCTCTGTAAAACAGAAGAACAGAAGCTTCTCTTTCTGGTTAATCTATTGAAAATTATCCCCAAAGAAAATGTGCTAACATGGCATCTAAAGTTGAAAATTATGAACTACTATAATTCAAATTTCAGCGGAGACAAAAAAACGTAACGTGATTTCTTATAATCTTCTAAGTTTTAGGTGAAGTTACCTGGTACACGCAAAATAAAACATGTACTCAATTAAAATAGTCGAGGTGCACGTAAGACAATCCAAACATCACCGTTATTAAAGAATTCGCCCCTGTTTGGCCATACATTTTCCCAAATTTAATTTGAAATTTATTTTCAAATCCCATGTTTGGCCATAAATTTGACCCACATTTTGGCCAAAACTCAAATCACATATTTGAAATCTCAAATTCAGCTAATAAGCTGAATTTGGGCCAAATTTCCAAAACTTGGGAATTATATACATGTTTTCCCAAAATAAAGTTGAAAAATATATTTTGAAATCGTATATCCAAACACATTTTCATCTTCAAACCAAACTTCACCCAAATCAGATTTTTCAAAATAAATTTGGGATCTATGGCCAAACGCTAGCGAAAAAAGATGTACCATCATGATTCTTGATATGAGGGTGTGAAGGCCAAAAATTAAGGTAGAGGATTAGCAGGTAGCCACACGTTTTCCTTTTCATATCAGTAGTATTTCTCTTATTCCTAGATTTCTAGTAATACATGTTGTTTGCTTTAGTTATTCTATTTTTCTTGTTGTTGTTACTTCCTATTTTTTCTCGTTGTTGTTACCCTTTCTTTTTCATGATTTTGCTACTATTATATTTTTTTTCAGCCGAGTGTCTACCGCCTCTCTACCTTCACAAGATAGGGATATATTCTGCGTACACACTACCCTAACTTAGAGTTCTAACAAAATTAATCATTTCATATTGAGACTTTAGAGCAAAGAAGGACAATAATACAGCTGGTTACAACATAACTATATAATCATAAATGGTTTGAATTTTTCTGATTTAATCACTGTATAATTTGACACCAACCATAAGCAAATCTTTTGAAGATTTGGGATATATCTTGTCAATTGATATGATTATGTAAAAGAAAACTAATCGACAATGATTTGGAAAATGAAAGCTCGTAATAATATCTCTATTTTTATTGCTTTACAGAGAAATATATCTTACATGAGGTGCTGTTAAGATTATGCACCTAAATTACTTTTTCCCCCTAACATTATACAGTACATACTACAACTCATCCAAAGTAAAAATTAGAATGCTTAAACCAATTATAGATTACAATAAGCCCCTTAAAACTACACCTAATCTTGTCAATTAGCAAATTTATGAAGCAGATTAAACTAAAAATCTCTGCTTATATACAAGCAGTCTCTTTCTCCTGTGGGGTAAATTGTGGTCCTGTGAATAAATGAATGGTGATTACATCTCAATTTTCATGTTAAGACGTCGAATTAGGCGCTGCATCAAAAGAAACAAATGTATTAATCACAATATAATTTTTTTTTCTTATTATCAGCTAGAATTCTTATTGAGCCGAGGGTCTCCCGGAAACAACATCTCTACCCTGCGAGGTAGGGGTAAGGTCTGCGTACACTCTACCCTCCCCATACCCCACTAATGGGATTATTACTGGGTTGTTGTTGTTATCGGCTAGAATTCATAGTATAAGTGGCACACTTCCCGGTGACAAATTCAGAATTTAGACGATATGAGCTCTAAAATGCATATCTAACTCTATTTATACTTGTTTTTCATGCATAGTCAACCCCGAAATACTGAATTCTACACTTTCCCATAATTACTTCCCCCGCCTCCAAAAATAAAATAAAAGAAACAAAAATTTCCTTCCCATTTTCTTACCAGGAAAAGCTTGTGACTGCAATGTTAAATCCTGGTGGCTCAATCCCATCTGAACAATTGTTTGCAGTTCATCCTCACAGATTGTGTGAAGCTGAATCAAGAAAGTTGACAAATACTAAATTAGAAAATGCAAATATTTTTACTGTCAAGAGTATATGAATAGTAATCTACAGAGTAGTTGAAATAGGTTAATTACCTGAGTAAGATTTTCACAAAATCCATCTAATGGGAACACTTGTTGTGGCAAAGAGCCATTTGGTTGACATATCTGAAAGAAAAACAAAAAAAAAACCATAAATTAAATTAGAATGTAATATAAATGTTACAAGGAAGCCATTCATTGCTTTGCAACGTTGCTCGGATTCTCCGAAAATGTGCTGGGTGCGTGTCAGATCCTCCAAAAGTAGTGCATTTTGAAGGATCTGACATGAGTGCAGCGGCATTTTGGAGAGCCCGTCCAACATAGCTGAGATGTCAAAAACTTACATCTTTTGAGAGGAAATTATCTATGTGAAAATCCATTCTTGGGTTCATTGAAGCCAACTTCATGGATAGGAACTACAAAATATTGCATTAAGGATAATTGATTAATTAGACAATGAACAAAAAGAAATTTCATGTGCCATTTTCATAACATACTTTATTAAAATCTTGAATTACCTCAACTTGGCGTTGGAGAGACTGTACATAATTTATAATTTCGTCAAGCATTAATGCTTTTCCAGTCACCTAATAAAAATTGTTTATTTAAGTTAGAATTGGACTTAAAATGGAAGTTAAACCTCCATCTGATCATAAAGAGAGTAAAGAAAATGAGAAACAAAGAAATTTACTGAAGCATTTGGGACAAACCTTATTACAGCCTGGTACAAGATCTTGCAAAAACTTCATTCTTTGACTGATCTTCTCTCTACGGACCTAAGCAAATGGCGAACAAAGCGATCATTAAATAATACTACAGACGAAAATTTTGCCCCTTCTAAAATTGAGTTAAAAAAAAAAAGCATGCCCCTTCTAACAGTTTAAGAGAGCATTGGACATAAATTTGGCTGAAACTTAAAAAATGAGTTCTTGAAAAATAATTTTTGGAAGTTGAAGTTACGTTTGGGCATATATTTTATTTGGAAAAAAGTTAAAGTATTAGCGGAAGAAAAAATTTCACCAAAAAACTGCCATAAACCAGTTTTTGGAAACTCGAAAAAAATTTAATTTTTTTTCAAAAATAGATCATATTCCATGAACAAATAGTATTTTTAATTTTTTTTTTTGAAAAAAAAAAACCAAAATCTATGGTCAAATGATGGCTAAGTATTTAGACGAGTTGGTGACACAACTATCATAACAATATACAGTCAAAACTCTCTATAACAGGCTCGTTTGTTCCGATATTTTTTGGTTGTTATCGTGAGGGGTTGTAAAAAAGGAAACATATTATAACATAACATAAAAATTTATTCCGAAAAAAATTGACTTGTATAGTGAATGATCGTTATATAGAGATGCTGTCACAGAGAAGTATGAATGTATGTTAAGAAAATATAGTTAAATTAAAATGTATACTCTGTAACAATACAGTTCAAGAAAACAAACAAAACAAAAAAGAAATCAAAGAATTTAAGAGGCTTACTCTTTCAGCTAGACTATGACTATCAGTAGCTTCACCTCTTCTTGCTCTAACATGAATCCAATCCTTTGTTGGCTTTTGCTCTTCCTTTGTTTCTTTCTCATTTTCATCACCTTCACTACCATTTATTTCCTCCATTTTAACTGTTCCATTTTTCTTCCCATTACCTTCTGTTGATTTAGATCTCTTTTCCTTTGTATCAACTCCAACCTCATTATAATTCTTTCCTTTTCCTCTTGAAACTGCTTTTCTTTTCCTAGAATTCAATACATTTGAAGTTTTTGACGCCATTTCACCACTTGGGATTTGCTCAGAAACAGAACAATCTTCATTAGAATTGGCATTATTAGGACCTGAAATTTTGCCCAAATCCAAATTTTCACACATCATTTCCACCTGGGTTTGGCCTGAATTTTTGTTCTGTAGTACAAGAGAAGGACTACTCGATATTCTAGATAATTTTTCACTCCCCATTGGCCCAGTACTAGATCTATGACTCAATTCTGTATTGTTTAGCCCAAATTGACTCGTTCTGCCATTAAAACTACTGCTACCAAAACAAGAAAATTTAGCAGCTCTATGTGAAAACTCTGGATTAGCTGAAAATGTAGGAAATTGAGGAGGATTTACTGGAACTGAAATATCAAAAATTGGTATATTATCTCGTAATTTTGGAGGAGAGTTTAAAGGTGTACTATAACATGAAGTCATAGTGGAATCACTGTTATTAATATTATTAATATGATCATAATTCACAGCATAATCAGTGAATTGAGGTGGAGGAGAGCTACAAATTGTGCCTAATTTTCCAGCTAATTCGTGGAGTGCGAAATTATCATTGGAATTTACAGAATTGGAGGCAACAGGAGATGAGACCATGGAGCTCAAAGCTGAATCAAGTTCATGAGGTGAAAATAGGGAATTTAATGGAATTTTGGGTTCAAAATGGAGGAGAGGTGGAATTCCACCATTAGAGAAGTAGTCTTTGTCCATGAAAATAGAAACTAACTCAAATTTTGACAAGAATGAGATTTAGTTATGGCTGATTTTCTCCTATTTATTTTGTAAATGTGTACTTAAGCTAGATAAAGAGAGAGACAGGAGGAGTTTGGTTAATGTTGGTAATAGAAGGAGAAAGAAGATGTGGAGAGAAAGAAAGAGGAGGAAGGAAAATAAATTTGCAGAGACTGAGATTAAATAGGCGGAAAGGAAAAGTTTTTGGAGTGTGAACTACGGGTGACAAAGGACGGGTCGAGTCGGCTATGGTACGCATCGAAAACGTAAAAATAGCACGGGTTAGTCAGCCTTTGCAAAGTCATTGAAAAATAACTACTATTTTGTTGCAACACAGAAAGTTCCGGCATAATATACTGGAGATCGGTGCACATGTGTATGAACTTCCAACATAATATGCTGGAACTCCAACACGCGGAAAGTTCCAGTATAATATATTGGAGATTGGAGCACCGATGCTCCAATCTCCAGTATATTATGCTGGACCAATATATTATATTGGAACCCAGTATAATATACTGGAGTTCCAGTATACTTATATTGGAACTCCAGTATATTATACTGGAGTATTTTTCCGGATTTTGAATAGTGTTTTCGTTCAGATTTATCTTTACATGAAAATGGCTAAATTTCGATTACTTTTGAAATTATGGCCATTTTTGAATGACCACTAGTAAATTTGGCTATTTTTGAATTTCTCCCATCGAAAACGGGTAATGCAAAAATGAAAAAATTATCCGATCCGACCCTTATTTAATATAGACAAAAATAGGTTAACGAGCGTATAATATGGATATCTATATTATCTATTATTTCTTGAATATGATCACTTTTAGGAGAATTTTTAGTCTCCCAAAGTTGGGGAACCCCCAATTTGAGGCTTTACAAATGTTAAAGTTAAACACATTGTTATTCATTTTCTAAATGTATAATATGGTTCTTATCCATATTTGACTGTTTCTTAAAAGTTTATTGTCCAACACATTTTCTAATGAATAATATGAGTGGATTCCTGTTTTCTTTTATCCATTTTGCTACCACTAGTGTGAATTATAGGTCTAAGAAGTATTGGTAAGAGGTAATAAGACAGGATATAATGTATTTTCAACTCACCGACGACATGACCTTAGATAGAAGGATATGAAGATCGCGAATTAAGATAGAAGGTCAGTAAGTAGTCGAGTATTGTCTCGCTTCTCGTGGAAGAGGTTTGGTGGTCCTTTCGAGCCCATTATCTGCTTCTCCTGTTATACAAGTAGTATTAATACTATTCTGGTATTGTCTTATTCTTCAATTTCTATTACTACCTGTTGTTTCTTGTGCTTCGGTCATCTTATTACTTTATTGTTGTTAATGTCCCATTTTTTCAATTGTTTTGTTATGCTTTCCTTATTTTTTTTCATGACTTCTTCACTACTGAATTTCTTTTTTAAAACTGATTTAGTATGCATTCCTCGAGTCTTCACTACTGAATTTCTTTTTTAAAACTTGAGCCGAGCGTCTATCGAAAACAGTCTTTCTGCCTTCACAATGTAGGCATAAGGTCTACATTATACTGAGTATGTTATTATTATTGTTTGTTATTTATAAATTTTAAATTCGCATGTAGCTACAGTTAAATAAAAAACTCTCCTATAATAAATTACAATTTTGAATAGAAGAAAAATTGACTTTATAAAAATCTCTTATGTTTTATATATTAATCCTTTATTTGTTTATTATTATTATTAGTATTATTTTGCGAATCACCAAAAAAGACATCATATAGTAACTACATTGATATTAATAATGAGTCATAAAGCTAACACGAAAGTCCAATCTCCCTGTTGAAAGTTGAAAATTACCAGTTATCCCTTCATCCATGACTTCGTATAAGTTTTCGTCGATTTATGCAACAAATTTCCCCTACATTACTCTCGTTTAGGTCATTAACAAGTTCTACATAATTTAATATGTTAAAATCATTTTTTAATGAAACAATTTAACGTGTTTTTGGCAGGTCAATCACTGTATTATTCCAACTTCTCCGGTTTAATCGGATACTGTTGGATTTTCATACTCATAATAATAATAGTAGTAATTTATTAACGATAATTACTAATCACTCAACTTGGTTTCTTAGAAATGCAATGACAAATATGAATTCAAGTATTTCTCACATCTCTTCCAGTAGGCGCCAAGCAGAGATAATTAGTAGTGCTGGTTTAACGATTCAAAGCAAAGTCCAAACTGACATAATTAAATAATTATTTCGTTAAGTGGTGAATTTATGTAACGGTGTAAATTAAACTGGTTGTTTGGTTATCTGGAGAGGGTCTCGGTATAAAATTTAAACTTGGGATTACATTTATCTCGAATTTGATAATTGGTAGTATTAGTTAAAATTGGTATAAATTATATGCTATTTATTCCATATAGTAGGATGTGAAATTATAGTATTATAATCCAAAATCTTATTCCAAACTAAACGCCACCGAAGGCATTATCAATATTTGTTCGGCTAAAGTGGTCCAAAAATACTCTTAAAATGGTGAGATACTGTCCGCTCTGGATCAAGCTCGTATGGTTTTTCTCAAAACTCACACTATTAAGTAGCTTATTTTTTTTTTCTACTTTCCGTGTGAAACTTTGGTCATACACACCCAATAATATTTTCACATTTGTCCAATCATTTGGAGATGTGCAACCTAGATTAACTAGAGAATTATTAATTTCTCGTTTTATGATCGATTACGTGTAATTATCTTTTAAATGATAAATGACCTAACTTAGCGTAATATTATTTCTACACTATTAAAAGTATGAATCAATTATATTAAATTCTAAACTGGTTGAGCATGTTATATTAATCATAAAAATAACTATATATTCTGAATGTATAAGATCTATCATATCATTGTTGGATTATTTTTACTTTTGACCATCTACTTACTGTAACTGCATTTCTGACCTCCAACGCTTCTCGGTAAATCTAGTCAGAGCAGTAGTGACATAGTAATAGACCTTCAGGCAATATTACATGATCAAAATCTGCAAAGAAGATTCGCGGTTGGCCGGTTTGAAACTCTCTCAGCGCACGTTAGCCTAAACGTACGCCGCCATCGGGAGGAGAGCAAAAACTGCGATTTCGACAGTGAATTCGGGTGCGACAAATGCAGGGAAGGGTGGGAACCAAGGTGGTGGCCATGGGAAAAGGATTTCTGAAGTTACCAGTCCTAAGCTCAATGCAACAGAGATTGAAACAATCAGCGATAAAGTGGTTAATCCAGCGGAATTTCAATGAACTTCGACTGAATTAGTGATACGGGAAACTAATTCCAATGGAGAGGGGAGCAAAATAAGCTCACAAGTCCAGAGGAGTACACCGGTGAAGGAGCGAGTGGAGAATTGGAATGAAGCAACAAAAAGCTTGGGTACAGGGGGAAGACGATCATGGGCTGATGAAGTTGAACTTGCTGAGAAGACTGCAGGTAAGGAATCGAAATCTAGGGCATCTGTGTGGGATAATTTTGATATACCAAAAATAATGAACGGTGGCTTTAAGCTTGAGTTTGTTAACCCTACTACTATGGGGGAACAAAGGATAGTGAAAATTGAAGATGACGATATTGTTTAAGAGATTGAATACTGGAGGAATGCTATAGTGTGTTATGTATTAGGAGCACACCCTCCATTTGCAGTCCTAAATGGATACATATAGAGAAACTGGGGGAAGTTAGGCATAAACAAAATAGTAATGATGATGAATGGTATAGCCCTGGTTAGATTTGAGAATGAGGAGGGGAAGAATGAAGTTATTCAAGGGGGAATATATCATTTTGATAACAAACCATTCATAGTGAACACTTGGAACGCAGATATGGAATTTACTCGAGAGGAATTATTTTCAGTTCCTATTTGGGTCAAACTGCCGGAGTTGAACTTTAAGTACTGGAGTGCAAAGAGTTTGAGCAAAATTGGTAGCCTAATTGGGAAACCTCTCATGGTGGACAAGAATACTGAAAAAGAAACTTGGGCTAAACTTTACAAAATTGTTGGTTGAAGTGAAAGTTGGTGAAAAATTGCCAGAGATTTAGAAATTAGAAAGGTAATGTGATTGAACAAAGAATAACATACGAGTGAAAGCCCTCTATATGCTCTAGTTGCAGCAAATATGGGCATACAAAAGATATTTGTAGGAAAAACAAGACAACAATGGAAGGCAAGGTACATGAAGGAAGCAAACAACCAGAGAAGGTTACACAATAGAATGCTGAAAATAAGACGAATATAGTGAAAGCACAGGAGGATAAGGGGGTCAAAGAAATGGGGAGGGAGGATATACAGGCAGATGTCAAAGATAAAATCCCGGGAAGGGGCATCAAGGATGGGTGCAGCCTCGTAAACCAACCAATGTGGTCAAGCAGACACATTCAATGGTGCCTGTGGCCAATACATTTCAGAACCAGGAGAAGGATAAGGCGGAAACAAGTACTGCTAATGAAGGAGTGAAAGGAGGGAGTGGTACCATCTTCCCTATAGAGGATGGTTAAGCTAATGAGTTGGAATACAAGAGGCCTCAATGGCCTCAGTAAGCAAAAGAGGTTAAACTCTTCTGCAATGATCATAATGTTGGACTAGTTGGGCTACTAGAAACTAGACTAAAAAGTAATAAGGTGGTTAATATTATTAATGCTATGTTTGTAGGGTGGCAATACTAGCAATCATATCACACTTTATAATGGTAGAGTTGTGGTAGTGTGAAAACAAGAGCGGTGTGGGGTGAGGATCATTAATGAAATTGCATAGGCAGTAACTTGCCAAGTAAAGTATATTCCTATGCAAGTCACATTCATGGTCACATTTGTGTATGCACATAATCTCAGAGATGATAGGAAAGCATTATGGGACTATGTACACCAGATGAGAACAGGCTGCCGGCTTCCATGGATATGGGGGACTTCAATGCAGTACTACAGCAGGAAAACAGAATTGGAGGGAACCAAGTAGCACTCACTGAGGTGGTAGAATTTCAGGAGTGTATTGATAAGTGCATACTTATGGAGTTACCAAATAATGGATACAAATACTCATGGAATGACAAGCTGGGGACAAATAGAATCTGTTCAAAAATAGATTGGGTGTTTGTTAATGGGGAATGGATATATACAATACAACAATGTAAAAC